CTAAACTGAAACTGTGTATTGAATTGAATCCTCTAAATCTTCTATCTCTCTCTGTGCTACACATCACGTGCCATCACATCTTACCTTCTCCTCCTGGCGAGGAAATACCATCGGTCAGTAGAAAACTACTGATCTGTCCCCAACGCGGCGCAGTTAAGACGGCAATCAGTAGAAAATGATAAAGTTCGATCCGTACCTAACTCTAATCATAGCTCCATTTCTGCTGCCTTCAGCAAAACCGCTTTTGCCCTAAGCGTACCATGCCTCGAAAGCCGCCTCCGAATTATGGGAGTTCTCCCTTCGTGGTAGATCTTTCTGACATCGCTACAGCTATAAGCGTGGGTGTTTTGAGGGAGGACGCAAAAGTTGATACCTCAGACCGCTCCAGCCAAAAGTATGGGGGAGTATACGCGACACGAACCAATATTGCAGACACTGAGTTTCCAACACAAACAAGGAAACTTACGACACAAACAATTGCAACCGTTGACTGCTGATTAATAATTAAGGTATTTCTTTCCAATAGATTATCTTACTGATCCTCACTTTCAATAAACATCAGCAGCAAACGGACTGGGGAGTCAATTACTGTGAGTAGATAGAACTCTACTAACGTACCCTGAGAGTAACCAGTTGGATACGTCGTGTACCCAGCTACTTCGACGTCAACATGTTATTTCGGTGTACTATTTTTTAGCTGCTCAAAACGCCTTTATTTATATGGTTGTTTTTGTGGAGTGCACTTCGGTGGCATTCGTCATTTTGGTAGATGCCTCCGCTCAACCCCCGACAGCGTCACGCCCAAACGATCCAGCGCCGTCTGGACGGCTCCTTTTGGCAGCTTCGTCTAAGCAGAGAAGTTAGCATACCGAACGAAGTCGACCGAGAGCTGGACGCCGAGCGTGCATCGTCCATAGGTGGTGGGTTACGTGACGTTGTCAGTAGAGGAGGAGGTCTTTTTGCAAACGAGCGCCGAGCCAGTAGAGGAGACAATGCTCAGCTTTTCGAGGTAGAAAGAATATACGCCAAACGGTGGGTCAATAACTTCGTATACTACCTTATTCAATGGGTGGGGTACACAGAGTTGACGTGGGAGCCAAGTACCAACGTGCCAGCGCGCCTAAAGATGGTGTTCGAACACGAGTCAGTCAATTTCGTCTGGGTCTATCAATCTACGCGGGGAAGACGAACCCAGCGTCGCGAGCAGCCAACGCGCCGGGGTCAGAGACTGATAGACCAAACGAGGCAGGACAAAGAGAAAATGCAAATGCGAACTACCAAACGAGGCAGGACTAAGAGAAAATGCAAATGCGAACTTAACAGCACTCCAGTAGCTGTGAAATCAGTAGTTGTGCAGGCAGCGCCGCGTTGGGGACAGATCAGTAGTTTTCTACTGACCGATGGTATTTCCTCCCTCCTGGCGCACGGTACGTGCATCTCCCGCGGTCACCCTCGCCAGCTGGGGTCGAGGGAGCCGTACTGATACAAACTGTATCCGGACCGATCACAGATGATTTTGCTCGAAGGGTAGCGGGTTATGAGAAAGTGAAGGTAAATGGCCCTAAAACTATTGAGTTAAAATGGAAAACCTAAATGAGATCATTGACATGCCAAGTGTACCGCTTCGCGAAGCTCTACATGTAGAGACGCTGCGCTTCCAGCAAGGCGCGGCATTATTTTTCATCTATTAATCTCGATATCCAGTAGTTTATTATAATACTGTACATGTATCATCCCCTTGTGCTGGTCCGTACAAAATAAGAGTGTATACCCTAATTCGCTTTTTCACAGCCCCAATGACGGCTAGCTATAAACGTTTATTTGACTCAAAAAGTGTATTGGCCTTCGAATCATACAAAAAATAAGATAATCATTTATGTGTAGATTACAGGCTTAGATTTACCTTTTATGAGGATATGGTTGAAAGCAACGAGAGATAGGTACTAGCACCCACCAACACTGGTGACCGACATCAGTTGATTTCTCTCATTCGAGAAAAACGGCGGACAGAGAAGAATGGTGGGACCCGTTGGAAAGTCACTTCGCAGCATTTTGACGGCAAAAGAGAAGCAGCAATGTACGGAGAGCAACAGCCGGGAGCACCGCTTGCGATGTGCGATTGTGTAAGAGAAGCGGGGCTACGTACAAGAACGGCAAAGAAAGTGGGAGCATTGCCGGCAAACAATTTCGGCCTCTTCTTGAGCAAGAGCCGTTTTTTTTTTACATGATGGGCTACCTCCAATTTTCGAAAGATAAGTCCCCACGCGCTTGCCAAGATCGATTGTAGAAAATACGCCCAGCTGTCGGCGTATTGCAGCGGACGATTTGCCCGAGGATATCGTGCACCTCCTGTCACTAGCTTCGACGAAGCCACATTGCCATCTCGCTCAAGATACAATCCTACTCGACAGTTTAACAAAGACAAACCGCACAAGTGGGGCACCAAGGCCCTTGTCGCAGCGTGTGCTAAGCCCATGTACTGTAAAAGGTACGTGAGGATACCGTGGCGAGCTCAAGCTTGCCGAGGTGGTAGTTTTGCATAAGTCCTTATGTTGAATATCCAGCGAGCATAAGGACTTGGCCTCACAAAAGTATCCAACAAAACGCTAGCTTACTGTTTCATTTGCATACAGAACTGAAGTCTACTCTGGCGCCAAGTTTGAGCACCCGGACCAAAAGACAATAAAAGGGTGAAGTCGCTGGTTGCGGAACGTGAACGCGCTTGTCCACCGTCGCCGACGTCTCCATGGCGTATCGTCATAACAGACCGCTTTTACACATCGATAAAGCTGGCGTTAGAGCTGCTGCACCGCCGCATGTAACTGACAGGTACAATTCAACAGACAGGCCTAAAGACGTTGTGACTAAGATGAAATTGAGAACAGTCAAAAACAGAAAAATGGTGGTACCCTCGCAGGGCACGACAAAGTTGACGAGAAGCCAGTCGTTTCCACAGCTGACCGCGGCTATGTAGATGGACCGCCACCCAGTGCACATGCCGTCATCAGGTGACAATCGAAAGACCGGTGCTGTTAGTACCTGTAGGTTCACTCTAATTGATGATGCTCGATCGGCTAATACGGGATTTTTTCTTGCTTTATAGTGCGCCGTATTCAAGGGGAGATGAAACCAGTCCCCGCGCCAGAAATCTTGCGTAATTAATACCGCTGGAAGGGTGTACGTCCATGATCAACTGTAGATGCAGAGTTACAGCGTTTAACTAGCCTACAAGACACGCAAGTATTACAGGACTTTATTGCTGGGGCCGTTTGACATGACAGCCGTCAACCCATTTATTGTGTAGCGTCACTTTCGGAAGATAAATAACATGCGACCTGCACGACACTTCGCAGTTTTCGAGACGTTGATGAAAGTAGCTACTCTCCGTTGATTCGAGGAAGTGTTTGCAGATATTGTGGGTCGCATGCTGGATCATCAAAGCAAGAGTATAGGCTTCTCCTTTAGCATCCAACATAACGCTGTATTATGTAGTACAACGGGTACAGCAAGTTACAACCGCGAGGGAACGAGCGGTCGCGTCCTCGGTAAGAGATGCGCCGGCCCACGGTCATCCGTAGTCGAAAGTGCATGTCACATACATGGAGACCAAAGACTCGAGGAAAGCCCAGACACGATTGACGGTGAGCAAATGGTGAAGCACTTCCGTCGCTCCTGCAAGGTGTGCACACTCAACAAGGTGAAACCACGAAAATTCACCAAGCATTTCTCTTCAGAATGCTAGAGCAACAAGCGGTAAGTGAGTAGCGACTTGATATACGATGACCAATACACTATCAAAATTGTGGTGCTGCAGCAAATACCTTTGCAACGCTGGGCGTGACCGCAGAGATAGATGCTTTTGTATCTGGCAGTTGAAGGGAAAAAAATGGGAGCGAGATCTGTGGTGTAGTAGAACACACAAATACCGTCAGGTGTGGATTCCTTACACAAACCACGTGGGTTTTTTTCTCGCAAAATTTGATGATCCAAATTGAGTTCGAATGTGCATTGACCGGAAACCTGCTTCAGACGGATATATCTCAAATACTTACTTTAAAGTATCATAATTTTTCCCGCCAATAGGTTTGAAGTGGTCATCTCCACCTGCAACGACAGCAACGAGGTGCTCCCTCCTCTGGTATCATTGCCGACTGCATATACTCGCCATGGGTCACATGCAAGACTACCAAATCCTAGCGATTCCACAAGCCCTCCTCGGCCCCCTTGTTGATAGCATCACCCATGAGCAACTCAATGCAGTTTCATAAGAGTATTATTACACCACTACTTCCAAGATACATTGCTGGTTGGTGAAGGGGTTGTCACGGGCATGGTGAATTGGATAATGAGGAGGATTGAGCTGGATGCGCTCTCTAAGGACTTACCTACCAGCCAAGGAGTGGCTGGCTGTCAGTTTTGCTTAGCTGGGATTGAGTAGTTTGTGCAGCATAGGCTACAAATAATTTATGACGATACTGGAAATATCTAACTGAAAGTTTTCATCATAAATAAATAAAATAAATTATTCCAAACAAATATTGCCACATTATTTTCAATTGCAATGTATTATTCGGAAGGCCTGGCTATACAGTTCTGCAACCCGTTTCTGCGTCCCTGGACTTTGATAAACCTCCGGATGTGATGATCCCAAATCCAAATGAACAATACTCTGTACTCCAAAATCGCATATATTTGCAAATCCTATACTGTTTACTTTCCCGAAACGGGGTGCAGTACTGTACTGATCTTTCACTAAGGTTTTGAAAAGTGAACTTCGTCTCGAAGCCCTGGAGAACTGGAAGCTGTTGCGCATACATGTACGTATTAGTATACAGTAATCCCTGCACCAAAAAGCTACTGTACCGGCGGCGCTCGGCTACCGGAAGTGATGCATTTCCAAGGTACACGCGCTGTTAAAATTAAAAGAAAAATAATGTACTACAGTGCAAGCATGAGCGTATTTATATAGTTTACACGGCGTCTACGTTAGCGTTCCTATCTTAATTGGCCACAGGAGCGAGTGCAGCAGCCTGCTGCTGAGTCCGCTGCGCGCAATGCTCGGCGCACAAGTTGCCGTTCCGCTCGTACGCCGGCTTCTGGCATGTCTCCACTAGGCAGCGCTTACCACCGCCGTGCGCCCAGCACAGGCCATGCGACACAGCGATCTTTGAGCACCCGCCGTGTTTGCAACGAGTGCCGCCGCCGTGCGACCAGCAGATGCCGCGCGACTTGGCACGCTTCGTGCAGCCCTCCACCGTGCAGCGCGTGTAGCCGCCGTGCTTCCAGCACAGCCCGCGGTTCTGCGCGCGGCAGTTGCAACCTTCCACGGAGCAGCGCTTGCCACCTCCGTGACGGATGCACAGGCCCCGATCCACCACGTACTTCTCGCAGCCCTCCGATTTGCAGATGCGCGTCTTGCGCTTCTTCTTGGGCTGCGGCTTGACTTCTTGCGGCTGGATCAGGCTCGTGGTCATTGGCAGCGATGACGCAGAGTTCGCGTACGGGTGGTACAGGATAGTGGACGGCGCCGTCGGGGCAGCGGGCACGTACAAGTGCTGCTGGTTGAGGAGGTTCTGGGCGCCCCCAGCTTGGCCAGCAGGCGGGTTCAGCAGGAACGAGATCGACGAAGACGCGCGCGTAGGCGACGAGGTGGCCGACGAGGCGTAGCTGCCCTGAGCCGCAAGAGTACTCATGAGGCTGGGCAGTGTAGGCAGGCGGGGTGCCAACGACGGCAGCCGAATGGTGCGGATCGTGTGCGGTGCCGAGTACGGCTCGGACGGCATCGAAGCCGCCTGCAGAAGCGGTGCCAGGCGCGAAGATCCGACGGGGACAGCTTGCATGGAAGATAGACAATTGTTGAACTGGTAGGGTGCTTGCTCGCTGGGTGGTGTTTTGCCAAGTGAACAGCGTGAGTGCCCTGACAAACGGGCTGCTGAACTGAGTTGTTGCTGTGACGACTGGCAAGAGCGACTGGGAAGATTTGCCTGTATAGAAAACTCGAGCTACAATCTCGAGACGATTTGCCCTACCGCGCTGAAAAGTAAACATACCGTCTGTCCCACTAATGAGACCAACGCGTTAGCTTGGCTAAGAACGGCTTTTTGCGAAGTGAGGAATCCGCCAACTCGACTCGAGAAGACGTTGACCACGCTTTTGGCGACTGGCAAGATCGATTTTGGAGATTTGCGAATGCTTGGGTCGAAATGTGCGTGAACAGTTTGTGCGAGCAGCGCTTGAAGCTTTCAAGAGAGCTCGTTACTCGATTTCAGTAGGAAGCGTGAGTTTGTCCGGGATGCTGGGGAGGATAGGGCGTGACTGCCATCAAAACACTTGTCTTTCCTGGCTGCGCCGTAATCGCTGGCAGCTTGGCGAAAAGGTTCAAACGAGGCGTTTGGTTTTGCGCGACTAAAAGATAATCTCAACAATACTGAACACGTCAAACCACCTGTTACTGAGCAATGCATGAGACTCAAACTTTTTTTCTCAGCATTTTTTTTTATAGTTATAACATTTTGCTTTTTGTGAGTCAACAACGCGAGTTTCAAGCCTCTAATCCGTCACTTCAAGCCTTGTAACGCATTTGCATACAGTACTTAAGGTCATGTTTACCGGCAAACTCAATTCGTCGCTGTGATTGCCGGAGCACGATTCCTGCAGTGTTTACTTGTGGTTTGAGTTGGCCGCACTGAGAAAGTTGCCCAAACTCCCAAATAGTAATTCACAAATGATGGTAAAATGCGCTGCACTATGTGACAGACATACAGTATGCACCAGGTATCTTAAATTGCTGGCCACGGAGGGGTTTTGTCGATGTTACTGGTATAAGGTAGTTCTCTACACTGTGAAGAATGGAGATCAAAAGCTTTTTACAATTTTCTAAGAATTAAACACGCGCTTTATCTCCATTCTCGTTTAAATATTAACATAGTTTAGCTTTGCGTTCTTCTTCAATTCTAAAATGTTTAATTTTGATTTTTAAATATAAAAATTATCCAGCAAATACAAAAGCATGTAAGTTTACAAATTTATATTTTAAACTATGAATCACCACTGTATCAGCTTTTGTAATGGTAGATGTATGACTACCGAGAGGATTACAGAGCCTGGCTCGAATCTTATCCGCACTCGTGCTGCACGAGTCGTGGAGTCGTCGTGACGTAGAGCATGGGCAGCAGCAGTTTGACTTAAGCTTTGAGAAGCCAGGGTGGCTACACGCGCTCGACCTGGCCCTAATCAAAACTCTCAAAATGTTTCAAAAGGAGCATTATTTTTGACACACTAGATAACAGTCTCAAAAAGTGTGTCTTAGCGTATGGATCTTGATACTGCATAAAATCTAATTTTATGCGAATTCCATGCCGTATTCCGGAAAACATGATTCTTGGAAAAGCACATGCTTGTTTTTTTGCATTCGAATTGCAGGCGAGAGGAACAGCGTCGCTAACGTTAGCGGTTTTTTAAACAACCTTTTAAGACTGCACGGCATTTCTATTTTACTAAAAACTCGGTGAGTTTACTATAATAATGCAGAAGTGAATACAGTACATAAGCAGAAGCGATGAAATACCATGGTACCGGTAGGGTTATGGGTAACAGCACATCTTACAGTACATGTAAGCGCGGATAAAATTCACTTTACTTTATTGTATTTTTATTTTTAAATAAAACTATTTAAGTAAAATAGTAAGAAATAAATTGGTCCATTCTGTCGCTGCTTTTTTTATTTACGTGCTAAAATTAAGAGTCATTCTAAGCTTTGGTTTTTTTTTATAAAAAAATCATTAATTTTTCTCTCTCGTGCCTTTGATGCATCTATCAAATTTTGATACAAACGACACTTTACCATACTGTGAGCACTCGCAGCGGAGTTTATTAAGAGTCCATTCTGAGCTTGTACTAATAACAAAGGAAAAGAATAAATCAACCTCTCTCTCTTTGATGCATCTATCAAATATTGATACAAACGACACTTTATTATACTGTGAGCACTCGCGGCGGAGTTCACGCTCCTTAATACCAACGTGCTGTGGGTCCCGCTCGAGGGCGAGTGTAATCTCAGATCACTTTGGCTCTGTTCTCTCTAATAACCTTATTTTCAAAAGGGAACTTTAAATTGTAAATACTAATACCGGTAAGGCACTCCTGAGATGTAGCACCAAACGACAATGGAATGGTCCACAGCGGTTCTTGCGTCGGGATCGACTTAGGAATTCCTCGGAAGGGATGCAGGTACTGTACAAGTACGCATAACGTACATGCAGTGCATCTCCGCCGCATGGTCCGGAGTACACTAATAAATGTACAGTACTGTAGTACTTAGATAATGGAAATAAGGGCTTGCCAGCTTAATTGTATTTACGTAAAATCGATAAGCACTACATGTATTAAATCAAAACAACAAGAAGAGTTTAGACTGCAGTAGTTTATGTTTTTAGTGTACAGTAACCCTACAGCACCCGCTTACAGTACTAAAATAAGAAGTACTGTACAGTACATGTACGGTACTTCATAGTTCGAAGTACACATGAGCTTAGCTCATGTGTAGCTCATTGAGCTACGCGCCAAGGGCAAGCTCGTCGTGTCCATTTGCGCTGGGACCATGGCTGTTTATTCTCTTGTTCCCTTTCCAGCGTATTCAAGCAGTGATGACGACCACAGTTTCGCCGCGCTGCTGCACCGCATCTCGGATATTATCGTAGCGCCGGCTTTCTGGTATTATAGCATCAGGCTGAACCAAATATACATGTACAGTACTTATAAGTATGTAGTTTTTTAAAGCAACAGAAATGTACAAAGTGATATTATATTCTAAAGCAAAAAAGCTGTACATGCGCATTTATATATTATTTTTATTTTTCATGCATATACATGTATTACTGTATAGCTTTCAACACATGAGCTACAGACTGTTCTACAGTACAGTACAGTAGCTTGTACAGTCTGTACGGCATGAACAAATATTTGACTCAAAGTTCAACAAGGGTTCACAAGCACGGCTTTCCCCGTTTTGCCAATGCGATTTGTCCCGGCCGTAAACGACGGCGTCCAGATGGACGCAAAAGATGGTTTGGAGTGCGGATGACTTTTCGCTGGCTGCACCGTCCGGTAATCCGCCGTTGTATGCTCGAGCTGAAGCCAGTCGCACCTTATCCTGTTGGAGCTGCTAGCTTGACAAAGCCACAGCGGGCAAAGCGCGCCGAACTTGATTTTTGTGAGTCAAAAACCGATCGGGTCCGCCGCGTTTGCCTAGCATTTTGGTACAGTACAGTAGTTCTACTGAGCCCGGCCTCGTCAATGCGAGTTACTTCGGCCAAGGCTGTTACAGTAATGAACCGACGGAGCTGGGAGCCGTATCGCGCTCTCGGCTTGCTGTGCATTGACGAAGTGGCATGGATTCTGCCTCAACACGGGCCGTGTTTTGGATGAGACACCAGCGTGTTCTCCTATGGATAGGGCAGCCGAAGCTAAGAGAACAGCGCGCAAAAGCAGCTGTTCCAGTGTACCTACGTGTATTAAAGCTGTTGCCTCGGATCGACTCACTATTACAGCAACCAAATAATAGACGTGTGTACTGTGCTCCCGAATCTATTATAATACCAATAGGTTTCTACGTCTTTTGCGGTGTCAGCTTTAGATACATCGTCGCGCTGCTATATCGGGCATAAAAGTCTGGGTACTGTACACGTACAGCAAAACCTGTTGTGGCCACAAACTTCACAACCTCACAACGTTTTCAACAGTTTACTTTCACTTTTACGTGACCCGAATCGGACGAGCGCAATGATGGCACAGCGCACTTTCTCGCCCAGGCGCTTTTCCACCGCATGGATGCACGCTTCTTCCTACTGAAATGGCAAAGCGCGAGCAACAACCCAGAGCGAAGCTGGGCGGTGACATGTGTTGATTATTCTATGCAAGGCTAATCCAAATCCCAACACGGATCGCCTAACTCGCTCGCAGAAATCCTTGGGCTGCGTTAATATATACGGCGTGTCGGTAGGGTTGCCATCCTACAGTCGGAAGGGATCCGAATAGCGTGACGGGCTCAGCGCCAGTGAAACCGGATCAGCTTCAAGCTCGGCCAGCAGAACGCGTTGGTCTCATTAGTGGGACAGACGGTATGTTTACTTTTCAGCGCGGTAGGGCAAATCGTCTCGAGATTGTAGCTCGAGTTTTCTATACAGGCAAATCTTCCCAGTCGCTCTTGCCAGTCGTCACAGCAACAACTCAGTTCAGCAGCCCGTTTGTCAGGGCACTCACGCTGTTCACTTGGCAAAACACCACCCAGCGAGCAAGCACCCTACCAGTTCAACAATTGTCTATCTTCCATGCAAGCTGTCCCCGTCGGATCTTCGCGCCTGGCACCGCTTCTGCAGGCGGCTTCGATGCCGTCCGAGCCGTACTCGGCACCGCACACGATCCGCACCATCCGGCTGCCGTCGCTGGCACCCCGCCTGCCTACACTGCCCAGCCTCATGAGTACTCTTGCGGCTCAGGGCAGCTACGCCTCGTCGGCCACCTCGTCGCCTACGCGCGCGTCTTCGTCGATCTCGTTCCTGCTGAACCCGCCTGCTGGCCAAGCTGGGGGCGCCCAGAACCTCCTCAACCAGCAGCACTTGTACGTGCCCGCTGCCCCGACGGCGCCGTCCACTATCCTGTACCACCCGTACGCGAACTCTGCGTCATCGCTGCCAATGACCACGAGCCTGATCCAGCCGCAAGAAGTCAAGCCGCAGCCCAAGAAGAAGCGCAAGACGCGCATCTGCAAATCGGAGGGCTGCGAGAAGTACGTGGTGGATCGGGGCCTGTGCATCCGTCACGGAGGTGGCAAGCGCTGCTCCGTGGAAGGTTGCAACTGCCGCGCGCAGAACCGCGGGCTGTGCTGGAAGCACGGCGGCTACACGCGCTGCACGGTGGAGGGCTGCACGAAGCGTGCCAAGTCGCGCGGCATCTGCTGGTCGCACGGCGGCGGCACTCGTTGCAAACACGGCGGGTGCTCAAAGATCGCTGTGTCGCATGGCCTGTGCTGGGCGCACGGCGGTGGTAAGCGCTGCCTAGTGGAGACATGCCAGAAGCCGGCGTACGAGCGGAACGGCAACTTGTGCGCCGAGCATTGCGCGCAGCGGACTCAGCAGCAGGCTGCTGCACTCGCTCCTGTGGCCAATTAAGATAGGAACGCTAACGTAGACGCCGTGTAAACTATATAAACACGTTCACAATGATTTTTCTCAAACAGATAAAGCTGTGTAAATTTATACAAGGGGAAGCAGAACTCTGTCAAGTACACCGAGACGCTGACCTCCAGCATGCTTCCATAACTGGGGTCAAAGTTGGGCAATTTGACCCCCATTTTCCAACATGATAACGCGTCCATACATGCCTCGAGGTTCACCAAGGGCTTCCTAGCCACCCATAACATCGAACCAATGGCGTGGCCTGCCAAAAGCCCCGATCTGAACATCATAGAGAACGTGTGGGGGCTTCTATCTCGCCGGGTGTACGCCAACGGACGCCAATTTGACAAGCCTGCCGACTTGATCAGACAGATCAAGTTAGAGTGGTCTCGCATTGATCCTGAGTATGTTAAGAAGCTAGTGTGAAGCGTCCTAAAGCGGCTGGAAGCGACGCGGCTGTTAAAAGGAGCTAAGACGGGCTACTAGAGCCGTTTGCATGTAGAGCCTGCAAGTGCGGCTATAATTCTGACCCGACCTCAAACCAGATTTTGCCTCCTGGCTCCAAGCCGACTTAATCTTTTTCAACCTCGCTTGCTGCACAAGTCTTCTATCCCTTTAAGACGGCCTCCGAGCCCTTCGATTGCAGGCAGGTCTCAGTTTCCGGCGCAAGAGCTCTATTTTTCAGGTGCGGCTATAATTACGACGCGCACTGTACAGGTACTACGTAGTACTACGTAGTAGTATAAATACTAGTAGTATTAAATAGTAGTACTACTAATGCCTCTCTGTTTATTTGTACATGTAATACGTTTTCTTGAATTTGTCCGACGGCGTCACGATGAAAACAGTCAGTCTCGCAACCTTCGGTTAATCATGCGGAGAGCAAGCGAATTTCTTCTCCACACACGCTTGCAAGGTGCTTGACCCCGCCAAGTTGACGCTAAATGGATGTGTCGTGACCAAGTCGTTGAGCTAGTCGATTACCGACTGTTTGGCGCATTGGACTTTGTAGTACATGTATGTACAAATTGTACATGTACACCATTTCCAGAGCCAAAGCAAGATGAAAAATGTATCGTGTCTGCGGTGTAGTTTTGCTTGCTGCGCAATCAGCTTCATCAGCACGATATCCTGATACGTGGCGATGCTCCTGTTGACCAGTACGAGAGCGGCAAGCGAGTTTTGCCAGTTGAGCATGACGGTAACAAAGCACTGGCGCTTTCCACCGTCCATTGACGGTCAATGTCGCCAATGAGACAGCGAGTGCAATAAAGCAAGCATTCCGGGCGAGTCTACGATTCGTATCTCTACGGGTGCCATTGTACTGTACCGGCACAGGCCCCGCAATGTCTGCGGCAGACAGACTACCGATGCCGACGACCACACGAGGCTCGTGCACAGCACGGTGCTGTCGCGGAGCCAGCTCCCGCGGCGGGAGTCCCGCCTGCGATTACTTCCGTTCCATCGTTTCTCCATGGAAAAGCCGCTGGCCACGCATTGACGGCGTCCGTCTTCGAGGAGTGAGATCTGCTGCCCACTCCAGCTCGTCTCAAACGACTTGTACCTGCTCAAATCCACGACAGGCCTCATTTACAGACGAATGAAGCTGCTGCGGGTCAGCGTTCGTTGGCAGTTAAGGCCGAAAGAGAATTGGCGGTGGCGGCATCACACACAGAAGCCTTCTCTGGTTTCGGATCAGCGCCTGGTTAGCTTTGTCTCGACTCATATAAAAATGAGCTGTACAGTAACGTTACCCGTAACCCAGTACAGTACAGTACACAAGTAGTGACGTTGCCCATGGAGACTCAAAAATAAACGTGGCCGGATTATGCACGTGCAATGACCGAGAGGGCAACCCAAGCTCAGTCGTCAGAGAGAGACCAAGTGCGCAAGGGACGCTCCACGCCGAGTCGAACGTAGCACAGCGTCAATATCAAAGTGAGCTAGGACCATGCGGGCCATGTCCTTCCAAGACTTGTTCGTCAAGCCTATCGAGCCTGCGCGTCTACCGCCGGCCACGCCGTTGCTGTCGCCCAGCTCGACCTTCGACGGGCTCGGTAGCTCGACGCCCAAAGGCTCGATCGACTTCATCCTGGACGACGCCAGGCACGCGGGCGTCAAAATGGAGCCGAATCTCGTGTCAGGGGCAGAAAAAGGAGAAGACACGGAGCTGCGGCTTGCCACGCCCACCTCCGCCAAACGCAAGGCACAGGGCGACGCTGTAGACGCCACTGCGCCCAAACGCAAGAAGAGAAAAGCTCGTATCTGCAAGGAACCAGATTGTGATAAATACGTCGTGGATCACGGTCTGTGTATCCGACACGGGGTGGGGTGCATGTGTGTTTATATCTGCTTTGGTCTACTTTGGGTGCTGATGGGTAACTACTGTACCTCTAGGGCGGCAAGCGCTGCAACGTCGAGGGCTGCAATTGCCGTGCGCAGAACCGAGGGCTCTGCTGGAAACACGGTGGCTACACCATCTGCAAGGTGGAAGGCTGCTCCAAGCGCGCCAAGTCGCGCGGCATCTGCTGGTCGCACGGCGGCGGCACCCGCTGCAAGTTCGAAGGGTGTTCCAAGATCGCAGTGTCGCTGGGGCGGTGCTGGGCGCACGGAGGAGGTGAGCTCAGCTCAGATATGTCGGCTGGCTGGCTGACTGCTGGTCCTCTGACTGATTCATTGTCACACGCAGGCAAACGCTGCTCCATCGCGACGTGCCGGAAGCCTGCGTCCGAGCGGACCAACAACTTCTGCACCGACCACTACGCCTGGTACAGCCAGCACGAGGAGAACGTCGCCGCGGTCACCGACGAGCGGCAAATCCTGGCTCAACCGACGCAATAGGCATAACACCGGCAGATCCATCTCGCCCCGCCCACGTGTAGTGCATCCAGTGGTGGGGGCGACTTTATGCTGTACACCATCATCGTTAATTAAGATCGAGAGGGCTCAGTGGCGACTAGCGTGGGTGACGTGCCTCTGCTGGACTTTTTCGAAAAGTACCTTTCACTTTACCCGAAATTGAGCGAAGTTCGACAGCTTTCACTTGAGTAGGTGAACATGACAGTAACGCCAGCATTTAAGCAGCAGTACGTCGCCAGGGAAGTGGTGAAGCCTGCTCTTCATAATGTCACTACAGTGTACTTGTAGGCACGCAATTATAAAGGCCGAGGCAAGATTGCATTGCGGTGTATTACATTTGTGCACGATGACATTTTGATTACTTTTCGAGCTGATAGTGGGAGTGTATGAGACAGGGGTAGGGCATAAGGCGACTAGAAAATTTAGCTTCAACTTCGTTTCACAGGAAATGAAACATTTTCTTTGTGTCTTTTTCGTGTTTTGCAGCTGATTATCTTTTGCCAAAGTACCGGCAAAATATGGAAAGAACTGACAAACACGGCCACAAAAGCAACTTTTTCCTTGCAGACGATGGGTGTATTTGCAGACCAGTCCGACGATCGGCCTTGCAGAACATTTTATCGCAAGGCAACGTCTCTTTGCCAGTCGTGCGACTAATAGTTTTAGCAGCAAGGTTTTTTCACCGGCATGTTGCGGCTTTCCGTTGAGCTTCCAGCATAATTACACTCACCGAACTCTTATGACCAACGTCTTTCTATTGGCTGGTAGCTGAATGAATAATAGGCTGTCACATGCACCCACCGCCAAGAAGTGCTGTAGTGACTACAGCACTTCTTGGCGGTGGGTGCAGTGTCACTGTAGCTAATGTGTCTGATTTAAACACTACAAACGAGAAAATGTGCACCTGCAAAACTCCACCAAAACCCTTCAAATACGATTGATCTCTACGACACAAAGCCCAGCTCTATGGCCGCCTTGTCAGCCTGGTTGCAGATATTGTCGTCGTTGCAAAGGTTGCGCACATTGGTGAGTTTCTCCGGGTCCTTGAGCTTAATAGCCAGCTGCAGTGCGTCGCTGTACATGTCGAGATGGATGAGCGTCTCGAACTTCTCGTCCACCGACGTGATGCGCGTCGTGTAGCTCTCGGCCTGCTGCTTCTCTCCTTCCTCGAGACACGCGATGGCGAAGGCCTTGAAGCCACAGGGCGGCGTCTTCTTCTCCAGCGAGAACTTGTGCAGTGCGTCCCACTGTCGCGTCTCGGCCAGCGCCTTGATCTTGACGCGATAGAAGCGCTTGTCCGGGACCTTAAACTTCTTGGCAAACGCCGCCACTAGCGGCAGCAGCTTCGGCTCGTACTTGGAGTCTCGTAGCAGCAGCTTCATCGTGTTCGAGATGGACAGACCCACGAGCTTGCGACGCTTGACGTTCTCTGGCTTCTCTTCCAGTTTGCCTTGCTCCTGCAGCAGCTCCATCTGCTCCTCCGTGAGCTTGGCGTGCGACGGCAACTTGGCGTTCGTGTACTTGGTCGTCGCGTCTTTCAGCGCCGTCGTCTTCTCCTCCACGTCTGTCGACTTGAAAGAGAGCAGCAGGTCGTTCTCCGCACTCGCCACATCGGTCCACAGCGCCGCACTACTCGAGCTCTTGGTAGCGCAGTAGTACAGCAGCATCAGGCTCACCGCTTCGCCGTACATTGGCTCGCGGTTCAGCACGTAGCGGAACTCGTCCATCGACGGCAGTGTGCGCTCCAGGTGGAACAGCGTCATGTAGATCAGGTCCGTGTTGTTGGACTCCAGCGACTTCCGCAGCGCCAGCTCGAACTCGCCCATCGACAGCAGCAACGGCACCTGGTCCGACGCGTTCTCCTCCAGGTCCAAGAACATCGTCGCCAGGCGTCGTCGGTTCACTCGCTCGGCGCAGTTGGCGATGTCTGCGTACGAGACCAACGTCGCGTTCTTGAGTTTCTTCCGGACCAGCGCCACCAGCTCCTCGTCCGACACGTTCGAAGACGTCGCCGCCTTGACCTTCTCACACGCCCAATGTACCAGCACGCGGTCTGTCGGGATCTTGAGGTACTCGCAGATCTTGAGCGCCAAAAAGTGGTGACGCATCGCCACCAGACGACTCACGACCACTTCGGCTGTGAGGCGATCGAACTGCGTGACGGTCAGGGGGAAGCCGATCTCCTGTTGACGCAGAGCGTTCAGCACGCGGATCTTCCGGCACATGTCCACGAACAGCTCGGCGTCCATCAAAGCGTTGCCTCCTGTCCCTGTACCTCCGGGCAGTGCCGACGACGCGTCCATCGCCGAGTCCACGAAGCATTTGCCGTACGACGCAGCACGCATGAGCGTCGTCTGCGAAGCGTAGTCGAACTCACTGCCAGCAGCGTCCACGCAGTCCTTGATGGCGTCTTCCAGGGCGTTCTGGCTTAGGATGAAGCGGATATGTTCGTCCGCTTTCGCGTCGCCAGAGTCAAAGGCGTCCAGAGCTTGATACAGCATCGCAGCGGGCGCAGTAGAGCCCACTCCTTTGATATTCTCCACACAAGTCGGCACGCGTAGCACGATATCGTGCGACGTAGCGCTGTACACTCGGCAGCAGTCCACTTCCTGGGCCAGAATGATGCTCTCGGAGTAAGGGAAGCGGAGCCACGAGCCATACGGCCCCACCATGACCAGTCCGGCACTAGGCCAGTACATGAGCACCGAGTCTTCTCCACACCAACACATACTCAAGGGACTGGCCTTGCTCTGTGTGTCAAACGACAAGATCTTCTTGTCCATCATCGTGTTGAGCACCGTCAAGATGCCGTCTTGAGTGAATAAAGCCATAAACAGGCCGTTAGGGGCGATGGCTACAGCGGAGATGGGTGCAGCGATGGAGTCCTGCAGCTTCATGTCGTGTGCGCCGCCGTCCTTGCTCACGATGACCAGCGACTTGTTGCTCGTACCTAGTAGGACTTCTGGGTAGATGCTCTTGAGGAATTTCGGCTCCAGTAAAGCCATGCACGTGGGCGGGTTGGCGTCCGAGAGTCCGCAGTCGGGTAAAAGAGACACTTTCGGTCGGACAGAGTCCACGTCTAGCACCTGGACAAGCGCCATCTTCTCGGTGAGCGTTACGAGGCCGCCGCCCCACGCTTCAAATGTAGCCACTTTGTCCTTGGAGCCTGGTGGGAGCAGCGAGAAGCGCGTCTCCTCGTCTCCGGCCATACTGAAGGCCACACAGGTGCCACTAGCGAACACGCAGAGCAAGCGCAGTTCATCCGTCCACGTCATGCCCACGAGCGTCTCCTTCTTGTCCTCGAAAGTTGTCCAGTCCACTGTGCCGAGCTTCTGGCCGCACGCGTTGAACAGCAGCAATTGACGCGCCAGAGGCGAGTCAGACGACACTTTGACCAGCTTCTTGGGGTCGCGGAGAAGCGCCACAGGTCCACCGTAAGGCGCACAGGCCGCCACGAAGTCGCGCAGATCGTTCACCCCCTCGCTCGCCCAAGTCATGCCGTACACAGCCCATTTCTGGTACTGCACCTTGCCCAAAGTGTGCCACTCGGTCTCCATAGGGCTGATCCAAGATGCGGAAATCGAAGGGGGACGTGATGAGATTTATGTAGAGTACATGAAATATAGCGTTTAAAACATCAAGTTGAAGTGGGGGGAAATGGCTACCTTGCTGAGAATAATGGCTACACTAGACTTGACGCCAAGTGCCGTAGTCGCCGAGATCCTGCGGACCAAAACTCATCCGCATGGACTTACGCAGTGCTGGTTCACGATACAACTCGCTCGAATCAGCGTCAAGACCCGCGAGCAGGTCTGGATCGCTACTCGTCGGGAACATCAGCAGTGCCGAAGACTCGCTGAGTGTCTCGAGTGGACGTCGAGTTGGCGCTGACTCTGCTGCAGCTGGAGCTTCTTCGTCTCCTGCGGGTGGTTCTTCAGGCTCTCCTTGCTCTTTCGCTTCCTTCTGATCCTTCGACTCGTTTTCTTCCAATGGCTGGAGACTGGCATTCAACATACTCAACGGGAACTCCGTCTTAGTGGGCAGCCCCGAGCTCTGCAGACTGGAGCTATGTTCCAAGCTCTGGTGTCCACTACGTGCAATCATGTGATGCTGCTGCTCCTTGTCACGTACGTATCCCCACAGGACGACGATGTATGTACCCATGAGCAACACCAACACAGCAGCACTTTGTGTCGTAGTGCCACGTTCGAGAATGAAGCCACTCATGGCTCCTTGGTACAGCAACAGACTGACACACGTGGCGTGGGTGGCCGTACGCGCGATGCTTCCGCGTCCTTTGATGCGACGTCGTACGTTCAAGAGCGAGTACTTGTCCACGCCGTGTTGCATCACAAAGTACAGTGTGCCTAGCGGTAAGATCAATGGCACGACGGTACTGAACATGAGCACGATCGTCAGTGTACTGATCTGCATCGCCGACTGTGTGCCAGTATAGAACTGGTCCGCCTCCACCGCCTGCACTTGCTCCCTGGGCGTCAACGCACGCGGCTTAGCCCACGAGAATTTGACGTACTCAGTGGCCCGTAGCAGCACGAGAGCGGTGCCCAGGAAGCAGCGCTGAAGGATGTAGTCCACGTAGAAGATCCCCGAGTTATGCAGGAAGAGCGTGCCCAACATCCCCAGTACCTCGCCGTCGTCTTCGAGATACAGCAGCACGGCGTCGATGGACATGAAGGCCAGACTCGGCACGAAGATGGTGTTGAAGATCAGGTAGACGGAAGCGGTGCGTAGGATCAAGCGTTCCTTGGCCGAATCGGTCGAGATCGGCTGGATATGGCCCGCAATCTGCAGCACATTCAGCAGCACCGCGTTGATCATAACCAGGATGAGCGTCGGGATGTAGTTGGCCAGAAGTTTGGCCATACGAGGCGACACTTTCCTCAGCAGATCGCCCAGCTGAGCCACCAGATCCGACAGCGACTGCGCCGCGCCCGTGGAGTACGAGGAGCTGCTGGAAATGGCGGACGTCACGGCGATCGGAGACGTGAACAGCAGCAGAACCACGAGGATGCAGACGTTCACTAGCAGCACGACGACTGTGCGCTTCGCGAAGGGGAACGACACGCTCTGCCAGTCAATGTCGTCGGGCTCGGGAGCGGCTTCCAGATGCCATCGAGTCAGGCCCAACTCACGCACATAGCGCACGAGCCGCGGCTGCGAGTGCTCCGGGAAGCGCGCCAGGATGGACGTGATACTCTGGTTACGCACACGACGGACGAAGCGCGCACGCAGTCTGGCCGACTTGAAGATGACGAACGCACGTCCTGCACCTTTGTTCTCGTGCAAGATACGAGACAGACACGTAATTTCTTTCTCTCGCAGCTTCTTAATGTGATTGGCCAGTTGTTCCTCTTGTTGCTCCATTGGAACAGGCTTGGTGCACCATCTGAGGCAGCAGAACCAATTGCGCAACATCAGACGCAGCGACGGGAGCATCACGCCACCAGGCAGCAGGCGCAGCGACCACGACGGCTTCTCGTCGTTCAGTTCTCGCTCGTGCAGGATCTTCATGCGAGCCAGATCCGTCTCTTCTTGACGACGACGAGCTTGTAGACTGTGGAATTCGGCCAGATTAAACACGACACTCACATCCTCCACGTAGCCAGGGAACACCTCGTCCAATAGACGCAGCATGCGTTGCTCTCGGAGGTTCTTGGGGATGCCACGGTTCACAAACAGCGATCGGTTACTGAGTGAAGATGGCTGCATTCCAATCAGATGGGTACGCTCCGGTAGCTTGTCCTTCTGTTCTTCTAATGTAGCCATCTCCTTGTCTTTCGCGAGTAGAGGTTGCTTCTCCGGGTCCTCTGTCTCTGTCGTGGTCTGACTCGGCGACACGACAACTTCTGGAGTCCCTGAGTCCTCTGCAGCATTCACGCTCTTGTCATCTTCTCCTGACGTCTGTCCTGCGATGGCTACACTGGTGGCAGTCGACATAATGGATGACGAGCGCTGTGTCAGCCCTGCCAGTTTGTGTGATCGCCTCGAGTCATGCGTGGGAATTGTAGCCAAAGCGCTGAGTTGTCTATAGTACACTAAGAACGCAACTGTCGTCAAGTAGCACATGGCTACAGGCACCCAGAGGTACGGCGACTCGTTCGGCATGACTCGGATCGTGGCATGAGCGAAGGACCACCACTTATTATCCACATCTTGAGCTGCACTGCCGCTCCCCATGGCTGCGTCCTCTGCGTCCATCGCATGGAGGTATGTAGCTCCGTCTGTCGAGCCCTGTGCGATGCCTTCGATCCCTTTAACGGCGGCTTCTGCTGCTGCTTCCACTTGCTGTATCGCGTTGGCTCCAATCGTGAGGTAAAGAGGAAGCAGAACTAGCATTGCAAAGATACTCAGTACACCCAGATAACGCGCTGTGTACTGCTGGTAGAGCAGGTAAAACGTGCCCTCGGGGCCGAGTCGCATCTCCACGTCGGTGTCTCTAATTGGAGTGCGCCACAGGAGATCGCCCCACTTCTGGAGTGTAAAGTGAGCCGCTTCCTGCGCTCTGGCTGACAAGATGGAGCTGGACCCGAAGCGGAAGAGACTGAAGCGAGTACTGCGTGCACCGGCTTGGAAGATGGCCAGCGCCACGAGAAACATGACGCCGTTGAACCCCAACACGAATCCCATGCCCTGCCAGCCCATGGCTGCGTCCTTGGCCACAGTCGCATTGTAGTCCACGTTCCAAATGTTGTTGGACGGCGCGCGAGACGCCTCCGCGAGCGGAGAGTCCTCCATTGCGCACGAGGATTTGAATATGGAGGGACTGGGCGGTCCTGATTCGGTCGGCGCATACGAAAATCTCATTAATCGATTTGAGCGGGGCCTTTGATAACATATCAATCAATTTTTTAGAAATGCACTACTGTAATCGTATCAGTGTTAAATGCAAGCTAGAAACAGATTCTAAATGATAAACTGTCAGAGGTATCGAAGTCCGAGGCAGAGACTACTACTTGAAGCAGTTCTACTTGTTAGCGGCTTGCTACGTTATCACCGTGCTCGCTACTGTCTTCCAACCCTGTGAGTATCACTAGCTTTTGGCCCTTACAGCACCTTCTTGTTGAGCGCACGTGCCGTCTGGTGGATGATCTGGTCGACAATACCGATGACCGTGAAGACGCCGCCGATGATGGCGCAGGCGGACGTGACGAAGTGGTAGAACGGCACCGTGTCCTCCGAGATTCGCACCGACATGGGCGACAGGTCGTAGCGGAACATGACCGACGGCAGGTCGTCCGTCTCCAGATACTCGTTCGAGTGCGCCGTGTACTTGTACACGTTGATCTCCGAGCCGTCTCCCTGCACGTACGAGTTGGTCACCACCTTAATGTAGTGCACGTACGTGTGGTTCTTGTAGAGCGACGTGAAGTCCTGGTTTTCCAAGCGGTGGGTGTACAGCTGCGTCTGCGCCTCGCGTGGGAGTCTCGACATGTCGCCGGGTGCCAAGTGCTCGCCGAACCACAACTCGTTCACTGTGTGCGACGCGTTCACCAGCGACGAGTCCATCGAGTACGCAGGGTTGGCCAAGTGGACGTGGAAGTTTCCGGGGACTCGCTTCACGTACAAGTGGCCGAACAGACGGCAACCTTCGGGTCCGACAGCAGAGCGAGCGATGGCGCGTCCTTGTTCACGCGCATCCTTCTTGTCCTGTTCGAACAGCTCCTTCTTACGCGCTTCGACGACGTCCATCTCGCCAGCCATAAGCTGTTTGAACTTGTCCACAAACGCCTCTACAGTTCGGTCGCCAAAGTACATTTCCACGGGGGATACGTCGCCGTCCTTGTAGAAGAGAATAGAAGGGTACGCGCGGATGAACTGCTTCATACAGAGCTGCGGGTGGGCCTGGCAGTCGACGGAGGCAACACGCAGTTGCTGGCCGTAATGCAGCGAGGGGAGTGTCTTGGCTACGCGCGTCCAGACAGGCTCCAGTCGCTTGCACCACACGCACCACGGGGCGTAGAAGTCCACAGCCACGTAGTGGTGCTGCTTAAGGAACGGCTCGAAGCTTTCCTCGTCCAAGATGGTCACTGTAGCGTCCGAATCCGGCAGATCGCCGTACTCCGTGTCTTCGGCGAAGCGTGGCATGACCTGCGTCTCGTCAGCGAGCCCGACCATGCGGCCCTTCTGGTCCAGACGGATCTTAAAGATGTCGGACGTCATGTTGTGCTTACGCGTGCCTGTCATGTCCGACACGTCGACGGACGCGAACTCGCAGGGCAAGTCGGGCACTGTGATGTTGAAATTGATGCGCATAGTCTGGTCCAGTCCTTCGTCCATGACGATATCGTACTTGTAGTCCACCGTCAGGTAGCTGTTGAACTCGAGGATGAAGAGCAGGAACATGATGAAGCAGCCGGCGATCGACAAACTCACGCCGGGAAGTGTGCTCACCGTCAAGTCCTGTAGCCAATGCATTGCAAGTTATAGCAACATTAGACAGCGGTGCAAGCAGGAACAAGGTTGTTTAAACGCACCTCCGGGATCTTCTTGTAGAAGTCCCACTTCTTCAGCACGTCCACGGCGCCCATGATGAAAGAAGCAGGTGTAAGTGTATGCGGACGATCGACAAGAAGCGTGTGTACACGACGAGCTGCAGCAGCGCGAGTAAAACGAGCTGTGGGCTGCGCAAAGTCTCAAAGTCCGGCGCTGATCCTTCTGGACGCCTGTCGAACTGTTGCGGGTCTTACGTGGCGATCAAAGGGGGCAGACGGATGGATCGCTTTAGACAGGGAAATTTCGAGGAGATAGGTACAGCGACGATCCAACGATCGTACTTATAGAGACGATTTACGGTACTGTAGCTTCAACCACAGCTTTTCGATTAACCGCCAATCAGAGCGTGGAATTCCTCGAAGTTGTCGCAACACACACCATAATCGGTTGCCCTCCCCCTCGTCGACCTTCGTCTCCATGGGCTTCTGCGGCGAGTGTGGATCGTATCTGGCCCCTGATCTACAAGGGGCCTTCTGTCCTGAATGCGGTATGTTTTCCTCTATCCAGACATGTCTAAATCGCTCTGGAAATCGCTTTAGAACCTCATTAACGAGTGTGTCATAACCATCCTTGTGTATCTGCTCAGGCGAAGCGATTCCTGGCGCCGCGCCGGCCGCGCCAGCCCCTGTGCGTCACGTGACATTTGCTCCAACTCCAGACATGGATGACGCGCGTCAAACACGAGAAGCGGCTGAACGGCGCGCTCAGGAGGCCAAGATGTACGCGGACGCCAGTAAACAGGAAGCAGCTAATGCGATCGGCCAATACGAAGCGCAGCAGCGCGCGCAAGTGGAGGCGCAAGCAGCTCGAGATAACGAGGCGCGTTCCTTTGCAGCGGAGAACGAGCGACGCGCAATCGACGCGCAGCGGGACGAGGCCGCACGTCGGCGTGAGGAGGCGGAGCGCCAGGCTCAAGACGCTCGCGACCGCGCTGAGGCCATGCGCCTGTCAGCGCAGACCGCAATCTCCGACTATGAAGCTCAGCAGCGCGCGGCGGTGGAGCGTGAAAATGCGCGCAGACAGCAAGAACTTGAGGCCCAGAGACAGCAGCATCTGCAGGTGGCCCAGGCGGCCAAAGAACGTCGAGAAGAGGCCGAAAGAATGGCTAAAGAGAAACTCGCAAGAGCTGAGAGACTGCGAATCGAAGCGCAGGCAGCAGCGGAGGAGCTGAAGAGACAGGAAGCCAAGCGCGTGGCCAAGGAGAAGCAGAGGGAAGAAGACAGACGACTGCGAGAGGAGCAGGCTCGACGTGAAGAGAACCGGCGGAAAGCTGAGGAAGAAGCGCGTGCTGCGTTCGAGGCCAAGAGACAGGAGGAGCAAATGCGTCTGGAAGCCAAGAGGCAGGAAGAACAGCTTCGTCAGGAGGCCATGAGGCTGTCAAGCATGTCGATATCGTCGACAGGCTCCAGTCCGGCCACGCCGGCGGCCGCGTCCAATGCGTGTGTGAGCTGCAAGGCTGCGCTCAAGCCGGCGCAGAAGTTCTGTCTGCAATGCGGCACAAAGGTCGCTGCGTCTGCTCTGACTCCCGGTAACAGCTTCTCGTCGCCTGCGCCGCTCACGCCCGGAAACAGTTTTTCGTCTGCGCCACTGCAACGTACAAACTCTTCTGCGTCCAGCTCGTCGTCTACGTCGCTTCCTGGCGGTGATCACAGCTGCGCGTCGTGTCATTTCACACTCAAAGCGGCGCAGAAATTCTGTCCGAAATGCGGCACTAAAGTCGCTGCGGCTCCGCCTCCAGCTCCAGTCGTGGCGCCGTCACCTTCGTCTTCTGTCAGCTCAGCGTCTTCATTCTCTGCGCCAGATTCCGTATCGACAGCCGCTAGCGCTTGCTCCAAGTGCAGTCAGCCACTGAAATCCACGCAGAAGTTCTGTCTACACTGCGGAACAAAGGTGGTAGCAGCCTCAACGCCAGGCTTGGCGTCTTCGTCGTCGTTCTCGTCGGGGTCTTCGTTCTCATCGGTGCCACTACCGGCCCCGATCCCAACGTCCGGATCGTGGTCCGCACCTTCCCAGTCCAGTACCAAGAACTGCCCCACGTGCAGTAAGGAATGCAAGTCTACGGCCAAATTCTGCATGGGCTGCGGCTTTAACTTTGCCAAGAGCGACGAAGAAGAAGTCGCGCGTAACATGGAGGCGGCACGTCTGCGTCAGCAGCAAGTTCGTGACCGTGAGCAGCAGCAGCGCAACCAGGCCTCCCTCATGGCCAACCAGGCTGCACAGGCCTACCAGCCGTCCTGGTAAGTGACTCGGGACGGACGTGCTGTCACGATGTAGATAAGCAAGTTCAGATACGACCAGTAAAAGCTTGAGAAGAAATGAAAATTCCAGCTACACGACGGTTCTATTGTTGCTGTTGGTCTTCTTGCTGTTGCTGTTGTAGCTGCGTGAGGTAAATGTTGTAGTTGATGTCGTACTCCGTGTCGACCCCTTCGTTCAGCTCGTTGTCTGCCTGTTCCAGGGGATACGCGTAGTCCTCGCCGTTGTTGCCGTAGTAAGCCTGGTCCTCAGCGTACTCGTAGCCGTACGGTGCGTACTGGTCCCCGTACGCCTCCACGTCTTGCTTTTCCTCCTCCAACGTCGTCGGCCACGCTTGTGCTGCGTCTTCCTGGTTGCTGCTCTGATAACCTGCAGGTGTAGTCCACGTTGCCTCACCAGTTTTGACGTTGTAGAAGTACGACGTGCCGACATTTTCGTCCCAGTACTCAACCCATTCGCCCACATTTTCCCTGGGCGTGTCTTCAGGTGAATAATTCATCTTCGGAGGACGCTCCCAGACACTCTCGCCAGTCTCTGTGTGGTAGTAGTAGACGTATCCACTCGCTTCATCGAACAGCTCGACCCACGCAGACGCCGACGTTGCCGTGTCGTCGTCCACGAGCCGAGCGAGTCTCCGCTTCGCACGGGAATACCGGAACGCGCGTTGGATCCGCACAGCCGACTGCTTCTCCAGTCGCAACCGCTTCGCTGTGCGTCGACTCAAGAAACATCGAGCGCAGCATTGAGCGCGAAGACGTTGGCGACTGACAGGAGCCGTGATACGCTCGCGCACATGATGCTGGATGCACATCGCACTCATCACTTCGAGCGCCACGACACGATCACGAAGCTGTTCGCGCGCGCTCCTGGCTGCTTGAAGTTTCCGTCTGAGCAACTCATTTCGAGCTTGTCGTCCACGCACCATCGTCTGGATGCGCGTGGCTGAAACTCGTTCACTCTCGGCGATCTGTGCTGCGACGACACAGAGTCTGGCACGCAAATCCTCGCAAAATTTCCGCTGCTTCTCAAGCTGCAGAACGTGTAACTCGCACCGCGCGACGAATCCACGCCAGACGGATTGTATAGACACAGCTGCATTGTGCTGACGAAGGTGCAGTACGCGTCGTCTGGCAAGAAACCCGCGCACGTGACGCTGAATGCAGCACGCGGCGGCGTTCCTCTGTTTCTCAAGTCGTTCTTGACGTAGAGCATGAGCCACACGGCGTGCCAGCCAACCGCGTACAGTGCTCTGAATCACAGCGGCTGCATTGTACACACGTCGCACTTGATACCGTCGGAACGCACGTTGAATCACGATCGCGCTGTCCCGTTCGTGCTTCAGACGGTGGACCTCACGGCGAGCTAAATATCCTCGAACGACACGCTGTATCGTAAGTGCAGCGCTCTCCTCTAGCAACTGCTGCTGTCTGTGAGCCGCGCATATAGCGCGCGTAATACGACGCTGTCGATGACGTCTGAAACACTCCTGAACTCGCTTCGCCGCAGCTGTATGCCTCGCAAGGCGCAGATTTGTTAGCGTACGTCGCTGTGCAAACCGGCGATAGTACGTTTGAATCGTCACGGCCGCAGCATCTTCAGCGTATGCACGCTCGATTTCTTTCCGCTCGTGTGGCTTACGCTCATGGAACAGAGCATCGCAAGACCGACAGAACGTCAATCCCAGAGCTGCCTCCCCATTGCGCTTAGCCTCATTTGAGCTGACGCCGTGACCGTACAAACAGGACCAGCAACATCTACGTACAGCCTTTTTTTCGCACAACGTACACGTCCCGAGCTGGAGCCGCATCTTGTCTTGAAAGGTCCGATACGCGCGTTGGGCACCCACCAGAGGGACCAGAATACGGCGGTACACAGCGACATCCAGAGTCTCCATGACAGTATTTCCAACGCTAGCGAACTCGTCACTACAGACGCCACATAGCTCACTCTCGGCTTCGAAGTGGTAGACCGTGGCGAGTTGAGAGCGGCAGTTCTCACAAGCGCCCAGACGTCGGACTACTTGACGTCGCGTGAGTTCGCGTCGAGCTTGTCGCGCTCGGAACATGCACTGCATCTTCGTGGCAGCTCGATTTCGTCTTGCCATGTCCCTAATTGCGACGTATTCGCGTCGTGCTATCCACGCGCGGTACGTGGCTTGGATCTGCCGCGCTGCACGCTCCCGTTTCCGCTTTAGAATACGTTCACGAAGCTTCAGAAGCATCCGACATCCACGCCAAAAACTCTGTATCAGTCTGATCGCTTGTGCGCATTTCTTCTTCTTTCTCAGCGTGTAGAGCTTCGTTCGAGCTTGGTATTGACGCGTGCAGCACTGAATAGTACGCGCAGCTTTCTCCCGTCGGTACTCAGTAACCACACAACGGAATCCGCGCTGAAACATCCAGCGACGTCCAATACGTTGGATACGATTCGCCATCGCTGTCTCCGATAGCACAGTCATCGCAGCCCAGCCAAACTTCCTGGCGACATAGTTACGATAAGCCACGCGGATCGTCGTGGCCTTTTCGTTCTGCTCTCGTACACGCCGAGCTTTCCAGCGACCATAAGCCTGTTGAATCGTCCTGGCCGCTTCATCTCTCAGTTCGTCCAGCGGACAGTTATGTAGTCTATGAGGTGCCAGGTATCCTCCGAGACTACGTTGCAGCGTCACTTTAGTGCGTGTGGAGTAGCCTCGCCACATCTTCTGGATGTACGTGGCGGCCTTGTCATCAACTCGTCGCTGTCGTAGACGCCGTACTCGTAGTCGGGCTAAATGCCCTCGAGTCGTACGCTGTACACTGATAGCAGCAAGAGCTCGACGCTTGTCCAGTCTCATACGCGCTACCAGACGACGAGCGAGATGCCGTCTAACGTGCGTCTGCAGCTTCCGTGCTGCCAGCCATCGTCGCACTCCATCGCGTCGTCTTCGAGCTTTACGACGAGCCACAAACTCGCGCATCGATCGTTGGAGGACACATGCAGCCTTAGCCTCGAGACGGCTGCGTGCTCTTCTTCTAAAACTTAGTATCAAGTGACAACGTCGCATGAATCGCTGCAGTATCCGAGCTGCACGGTCTCGACGTATGTTGCTAGCCACAACTTTGTCCATGTAGCCTCGAGCCACGCGTTGGATCTCCACAGTCGCTGCAGTACGCTCAGCAAGCGCACATCCTTCGGTGACGCGTACCCAGATGGGCCAGGCATGCGCTAGTACTGGTATCACTAGGAACCGCCGTACGATCTTGTACGCCGCCCGTCGCACCACCCTCCGCTGGTGGAAACGCAGTCGCGCTGCTAGTTTCCGCTCCATGGCGCGGACGTCAAAGCTGTCGTCGTTACTATCGGCGTCTCGGCCAGCTGCCAGACGCTTAACTCTCCTTCGTTTGGCCGTGACCGGGTCGGTATGAACTGAAGGCTTGGGCGACGACGGCGGCCTCACGTGTTCCAGAATGCGGAAGCGGATGCCACTAGCTGCCTCGCCGTGCTGTTTAAAACTCGAGTTCAGCGCTTGATGAGGATGCGCACCAAGCTGCAGGTCGTGGAAACTCTGAGCTGCCGCGTTCTGGAGGTCCCACGTCGTGCCAAAGTAGCGATGGCCAGTCTTCACGTTCTCTACTAAATACACACCGGCATTCACCTGTCTAACGCCGACGAGACTGAGCTGGTTCGAGATGGCGTTTCTCCCTCTCCGCTTCGTGAAGGAAAGTTTGGGGACTTTACTGACGCGTTTAGTGCTTCGGAGTCGAACCTGTGGAGTCTTCCGTATTGAGGGAACAGAGTGCTGGTTCGAGCTGGCATTCTGCTGCTGTTGAGGCCTCTGTGGGGCTGAGAGCGACTGAGCCAGTTGACGAGAAGCTGCTGCTTTATCCCATATAGCAGACACTGGAGCCGCGTCAACGCTCTTGAACCTGGCCGCACGAAGGGAGTCCACCGTGTGTCTGGTATCCATTGAGAGACATCCAAGTCGGACACTTAAAGGGGTAACCAAATGGTCGTTACCCCTACTTATAATAAAACCCAGCAGTGTTGAATGAAACTCTTAGCTATCGCGAGGAAAAGCGAAGCGATTGCTTCTCTAAGTTGATCCTCGCGTAAAACTTACTTATCGTCTTCTACATGTTTGGCTTCTGTCTCCTCGTCCGGGCCGTCGCTCAGCACGTGGTAGTACTCTGGGTTGGCGTCCACGCAGTCACGCAACGCCAGTGTCTGAGCTCCGCATTTCTCGATAAAGTCGTCGCCGCTCTTCTTGCAGTTATCCAGACAGGTTTCCCAAGCGGTAAATTCCTTACCGCAGGGACCAGCCTTCATGAACTTACAGAAGCCACACTCAGCTTTAGGTGCCTGGCATTCACCCGTGGCCACGTCGAATCGAGACGACAGACACACGGTGCCCTGCAGGGCCAGCTGCTCGCTCTGCTTGGCGTCCACCTTGACGATCTTGGCCTCCACGGCCGGGAACGGGCTGAACAACGGCAGGTGCTTGGACTCAAAGGCCGGTAGCTCTCCAGTCCATTCATTAATCTCTTCATCACCGTCTAGAAGGTAGCGCAGCTTGTCACTGGCGCGTAGACGCTCGAGCAGCACGCTCGAGTAGCCGGCGCTGAGTCCACCAGCTGACGTCAGCGTCACGTGTGCAGGCTCCGCGGCGCCCTCGTACTCGAGAGACTCACCCGTCTCCGTCGTCACTGCCACCAGCACCTAAATAACATTCCCAGAGAGCCACAATATTAGTCCATACGTCCTTTATTAATGTGTTGTCATGCTACAGATACTTACAGTCTGTGCGTGGTCGTCCTCGGCCAGTCCCTTGACGTGCAGCTTGGCGGCACGGCCAAAAATGGGTGCAAATGCCTCCTGTTCCTCCTCTGTGGGCTGAAAACGTAGTACCACCACGAGCGGCTCGTCGGCGCTGCCGAATTTGGCTGGGAATTGTTGTCGCAGACGAGCAGCCGACTCCTTCTCCACGAAGACGCCGACGAAGTTTACAGCGGGCTGCGCAGGTGGGGCGGCTTCAGGTTCAGAGGCCTCTAAGTGGGCGGACGATACGGACAGAAGTGCAGTGGGTGCTGCCAGAAACGGCAGCAAGCGACGTGTGCGCAGGAACTTGGTTGACATGGTGAACAGGTTGAGCAAATGACGGCCACAGGTGAAAAGAGCTACGTATTGGTGTGGTGTACATAGGATAGAAATAGTCGCTTAGATACGACAATCATTCATGTCTTGCACCTTGTCGCAGGAAATGATGACGCATGACCGAGCGGCACTAGCTCTGTCGACGACAGTGTCGTAGGTCTGATCTAACCGTTATATCTATTATTAGAGGTGTTTTCAATACATTACCAAGCAAATAATCTATGCAATGTCACATGTTTATATGATAATACAGGCTCAAAGGCCTTGTGCATGTAAATGAAACTGAAGTTGAAGCGAAAAGCGACTTATGAGCCTGGTCCTGGTTGCCGCACACGTGAGTGTTGCTTCCTGATGGGAAATGCTTTGACTAAGTCAGTGACTACCAAGCCGATTGCGGCAACTGCGTCGGTGCTCGTCAATGACCTTGTTGCAACGGAAAAAAACTGGCAAGTTGCCATCGGTGTGTTCTCAAGAGAACAGCGTCTGCTCCCCGTCCCGAAGAACAAGGCTCGCAATCTGTCAAACGAAGCGGCTCAGCTTCGGATCAGTCCAGCGAGCGTACGTCAGACTCCACAACCGAAATTCTCTCACAATTCAACACACCGAGAGAGAAAAGGAAACTCCCCCGACAGCTCAGACTACGAAAACGCTTGCCATGTGTGCACGGATCTCTCCACAATACACGGGCATGAGCCCCACAACGTGCACGACCACTAGCAACAACCAGCAGGACAGCAGCAGCATCTACGCGCGTGCGTGGCGATTCGTGCAGCGTCGGCTGCGACCGCGAGCCTGTTCGTGTCCTGCAGACATGGAGAAGCGGACGGCGACTACCAAAACAGTGGAAACTCCACAGCCTACAAGTCGAAGCAGCTACTGCTGCGACTGGCAACGCGTGTACATGCTCAAGGAGCTGGAGGAGGCCGGCGCACGAGCACAATGGCGACGACAGCGGCAGTACCAGGAATGCATCAAGGAGACAGCAGAGTGGACACCCACAGACGTGCCGACGTTCAAGACGCAGGCACAGCGCAAGACCGCGCAAGTGACGTGTCATAATTGCGGCCTTCTGTTCTTCCGTCCGCTGTCTGTGGCGTCAGACACAAGCGCGTTCTGTGGTCGCGACTGCCAGAGCACGTTCGAGTACCGTCGAGATCTACAAGAGACTGTGAACGCGTGCGAGACTTTCCAGTCCACAGCCACCTGGACACGAAGCAGCGAGTTGTAACGGACGCAGAACTACAGCTGGACACTTTGTAAAAGTGTAGTGTAGAATCGACTATTTATTTTCATGCAGAGAGACGAAGAAGACTAAAAGCGCGTTTAAGGAACAGTAGATATACAAGCGAAAACAAACGGTCTCTCGTGTGCACGTTACACAGTCGACGACTCGAAGTGCAGTCGGTCGTCTTGAAGCGAGATGGCTGTGGGTTTGTGCAGCTGCAGCGATCCAGTTTCGTCCTTGTCCAAGGCGTCACACGTCGTGAAGCAGTGCGCGATGGAAATGAGTTCAGCGTCGAAGCTCTGGCAGACAATACGAGCACGCACATTGCCGCCGATACCCGCGAGTGCGCGGCCCTTGAGTGCGCCTAGCACGACCACATCTTCATCTGCCATCACCTCGGCGCCAGAGCTGACGCTGCCCAGCACGATGAGCGACCTGTTCTGCGCGAAAATCTGCTGTCCAGAGCGTACCGAGTGGCTCACTACCATGGGAGCAAATGGCTCCGTTGCCGTCTGCCCAGCAACTGACGCTCCGGAGTTTTCTTCTGCAACAAAAGCAGCATTCGAAGCGGTAGGAGGCTCCTCTGTCTGCTCCGCCACTGCAGCCACTCCCACCTCCGGCTGCTGCTGCAAGTGTAGCCTTGTGCCGATGAAGTAAGGCAGGTTCAGCGCCGCTGCCGCCTTCTTGACGTCTTCACTGGCATTAGTGATCCCCACCGGCATGTACCCAGCTTCCTAGTAAAAATGTATAAAACAATTTCATCGTTTAGAAAAACACTTTTTCAATAAATAATTTGTAGCAGATAAGAAAGGGTTTACCTGTAATTGCAGAATCTCGTTTCTCAGTTCATGTTTCTTTATCGACTGCGAGTGTGGAGAGCCTTAAGAAAATAAACCAATTAACAAGAATATTCTAGAAAAGTATACAACGATACGCTCATCTTACCGTCACTGGAGACTTGCTGCAGATCTAGCACGACAGGTGTCGGTCGGTTCGCTCGGGCCTGGAACAACTGCGAGTCTTTCGTCTCTTTGGATGAAACTTTTGACAGCGTTAGCGTGGGTAGAAGATACGAGCGGCCATCCAGCTCCAGCGCTTTGGCGGTCGAAGGCTTCACTGTGGACGCTCGTCGGCCGTTGGAGACCTCCTCCAAGCGCCGCAGAGCTTGCTGCGAGAAGGCTCTGCGTCGCGTAGTCAGCACTGCCCCCTGCATCGTGTCTTTACAAAACGCAAAAGTATACACTGAAAACTCTCTACCAGCACTTGGATGGTGTGGGACACACCATTTCTCGATTACGTACGATTATGTATTTTCCAAAGTATACCTGGAGAGGGAAAGTATACAGAAAGAGAGGTTTTGTATGGAAGGCTGCCTGATTTTCGCTTTCAGTAGGTCAACAGGCAGTATGGAGCCCTCTCCCGATGCATCTACGCCGTCTACGCAGCTCCAGAGCGGTTCTCACGCTGCTGCACCCCTTCTCCCATCACCGTTGCTCGCTTCTCAGTCTGATGAGTCATCTCCCGCCTTTGGGAGCGTCCCAGAAGCTGCGCAATACGCCGCCGTACCGCCCACTCAATTTGCGGTATCTGTCTCGGCTCGTGGAGTGGCTATGGAGCCCACAAAAAAAGGAAAAGGAGTTGGAAGGCGGCTCACAGACCGACAGCGCGTGGAGATTCTGGAACTGATTGAGAAATCGGGTGGCACCTTGTCGAACGCCGAGATTGGAAGACGCTACGGCATCACGCGCGCAGCCATTCAGAAGCTCAAGCAAAAGGGCGCCGAGGTGCGGGCGCGATACCGCTACGGCAGTGCTGAGACCAGAGATGCACGAAAACGTGGTGGTCATGTCATGAGTGTGCCGTTCGAACGAGAGCTGTTTGAATGGGTACGGGGACTCAAGGCACGGAAGGTGCCGGTCCCGCCGTCGCTTGTCAAGGAGAAAGCCAAATTGCTGGTGCCTAAGTACGGACTGGGGAATTTCCAGGCATCAAACGGATGGTACTACAACTTCTGTAAGCGATTTAACTTGTCCACGGGCGTATTGGTGGAGGAGAAGGCGCCGGCTGTCGACGTGGACACAAGCTTGGACACTGATCAAGCGGAGCTCCAACAAATGACGTTGGGGGCGCAAGCATACGAGCAAATCCAGCAGTTTCATCACCAGCAAATCGCCGCAATCACAGCAGCTACGTTGCAGCAACCCGGACAATTGCAAGAGCAGCAGCAGCCCGCAGAGGAAGAAAGCGGTACACAGGCACTCCAGATCAAGAGCGACCGAATGCTGGCACTTCTTGAGCAGCAGAACGCATTGCTGGAGCGGCAGAACAGCATGATCGAAGAGCAGGCCGAGACCATCAAAAAGCTATTTGCTGTAATGACGAAGGGGAAATTAGGATCGTAGTTACATACCAAGAGAGAAATCAGAGTTAACAGGTTGATATTGGATACGCGTTAATATTGAATGTCTAGTTCACGCTTGAGTGTTAGACAAATTTAACTGACAAGATACGCACAACATTCTTAGCTTCGGATAGAGAGAAACTTACTGACGCAGACGACGTTTGCAACTTGTGCTTTTGCTCGGGAACTTCGGCTCGGTACCAGAGGATCCCGCCACCTTGCTACCGTTCGTCTGGCTCTGGTTGCTCGATGGCGGCGTGCCGTTGCTTTCGATGGCGGTCGAGTCATCCGACTGGTTGGGACTGTTGGCATCACTGCCTTGGGTAATGTCGGAAGAGCCCTCGACCTGGCTGCCAGTCTCGAGTGTTTGTGAGGGGTAGTTGGACGGAGACGAGCTGCTGTCCTCAGAGGGACCGGTAGATCCGCTAGGTTGGCTACCAGACTCCGAACCAGGGACACTCTGATCGGTGTCGGACGAACTGTCAACTTGACTACCGGTCGCAGAGCTACCCGCCAGTGAGAGTGCTTCGTCACACGGTGCTGATGCCGAAGTGCTGCTCTCGGGCAGGCTAGTCGAGCCCTGACTCTCACTGCCATCACCACTTCGCTGGATGCCGTCGCTCTTGCTTGATCCGATTATGGCATGGTCTTTTCAATTATTTCTTATGAAATCATAAAATTATTTATTTCTTCGATTACCTGGATGTTTTTAATAATTTATTTGCTTAAGGAATCATCCGACATAATTTATGAGCAAAACCTCTTTATCATTATGTACCTCTCACAACCAACCATGACTTTTCACTACTGTACTTAAACTCTCTGCTACCAGTACTTCTCTAAGCCAGCTATACGACACAGCTTGCTCACGTCCTCACTTTTTAATTTGAGCAACTCGAACAAAGCCCCTCGCTAAGCTACTATGGTCCTTGCCACGCTCCCCCGCCACGCACCTTCACGCCAGCCCATGTTACTGTGTGCGTGTCTTGGGAGGGAGCCAAAGTCTAACGAGGGCCGATAAGGCAGTGCTGCAGCCCTTCCGCTGCCTGGAAGAAGTAGAAGAACCTGCACGCACTGCAGCAAAGCGAAGGAAAGTGAAGACGAAGGCTCGCCGTTTAGCAGCAGTTCAGCCGCGGTACAACCTGCTTAGCTGCATTCCACCTACTTCTAACCTTGTTGATAGGTTCTTTAGCGTCACCAGGACGACGTACGGGCAAGAGCGCCAAAGCTTGCAGCCTATTACATTAAAAATGGTGCTGTTCTTACGCCAAAATGGTGAGTATTGGTCAGCTCAGACTGTCGACGAGGCCACTCGGTAATTATTAACATGGTGTTGGTTTGCTTTACATTATGCTCTTATTTATTGTTTGTGCGCAGTACATGACATAATGTATGTGATGACACTAGCTGCCCAATGCCATTATTTATGGTTAAAAAGGGTTCCCATTAAATAACAATGCCATAATCAAGAGCCCTGGTAATCACCGTTTTCATTAAGATCCGATGAGCCTGTGGGGCTGCTTCGAGAGCTGCTTAAAGTAGGGAGACCTTCCTTGTCGTTTGGAGCGGAACCACTGCCAACGCCAAGATCGCTGCCGGTTGAAAGGCTACCGGGGCTCGACGGAGGTGGAGGTGGACTCTTGAGGTTGAACTCACTGCCAGAGTCAGTCGAAGGGGGAATTGTGAACGCGCCATTCGACTTGGCATCGCTACCCTCATCGATCTCTGACGAACCGGCAACGGAAGAGCCCGTGCTGTCGTACGAGTACGATCCGCCATTAGACGCAGTTGGTGTCTGTGTCGTCCAGGCAGGAGCCAGCGTCTGCGACTGCACAGGAGAATCGGACGGGGCGAGAGTGCTCTGGGGAACGTTAGCAGGGTCGCCCTGCTCGAGAGCGGTGATTCCGTTCATGGCCACGGCAGCGGTGACGACGAGCGAAAAAGTCTTCAAGGACAACATTGTGGTCGAGATGGAGCAATGCTGGCCAATTGAAAAATGCGCGCTCGGATCCCAGTTCGGCGATCAAGGTAGTGTCACGGCAGAGAGTGAACACGCTAAGGTTTTGAAGGTGTCAACTAAGACTCTTCCGAGTTTGCAGATTTCTACACTCGTTATTCTGTTGCTCGATCCGCATGGCTGCGTCTACTTGCCATCATGTGTGGATTAAAACTCGCAGGCTCAGTCGTATGGCGCTACACCAAGCTTAGAATTCAAAACCATCTGCATCTCCAAGCGCTTGTGCCAAGAACTTGGCTCTGAGGTCTCAGCAAGTGCTATCTAGGAACAGGCTGATTTTAGATCGATGACCGGCTTACATCGGTTTTATTAGCAGGTTGCAAGATTCTTGTTAGATTAGACGCCCAAGTGGAAGGATCAGTTGCGCAGCAGAACTTGTGTCACTTGACTATGAACTGATGATGTCAAACTTCACCCCCAATAAATTTTCACCCTACATTGAGCATGCTACACTTGAAATTGTTTCCTATTTAATGTTATCGGAAGCAACGAATGGACTGACATGTGAAAACCGGACTCTATAGACAAGCTTACATCAACGATCGAATAATACGTCGCCTCACATATTTTGCACATCTAGTTGCGGCGAAGACGAAGCTTGCAGCTTGTGCCCGTGCTCGGAAACGTGGCCGAGCCGCTGCTCTCCGTGGCTGCAGATGCTTCCGTCTGGGTCGGATTCGTGTGACGTGGTGGTCACTAGCCAATGGCATGGCAGTGAACAGCCACGTCAATTGTTTGGGTTCAGCTGGTCAGATTATTCTGATCAGCGTAAACTTAAGATTGCGTGTCTTTACATCATACTACAATCCTATTGGTCCAAAATCCCATGGATTTGCAACAATCAAGCTTCCAGCCGGAAATTGTGATTATGGGACGCTGTGCGAAATTTCCGCCCAAGATAAGAATTAGGATTCATAGGCTTTCATTGGCAGTTACAGAGAAAATCAGGATTTGAGAAAGATAGGTTTTAGGATGGACCTGGATACGTGCGTGAATATCCAGTTGTCAAGAACTACTGGTTGTGCGGCAGCTACTAGCTTGCCGCCGCCAACTCTAACTGATTAATCACTTCTCAATTTGCTTTCGAGCAGCAACTCCCCTCCTCCCCTACAACTGTCTACGGCGCCGTACTCGCCGTCTACGCTCCTACGCTTCCTCGCTACTTCGTGACATAGTAGCACTTGTCGTGTCAAGCTTCGGTTCAAGTAGGGCACTCGTGGTGGCATAGCCAGAAGCGAGTTGTCCTGAGGTTATTGGTGCCAGCCACATAGCTGAGAAAGCACTAGATCACAAAGGGTATTGCCTCAGCACGAGCTGCTACGTTCAGTGGCTTGTTGGTGTGGTTGCGCACTAGTGTGGTACACACAATCGGAAACTCTTTCTGGTGGCCTTGGGTCTAACGCTTTCACGTTAAGTGGATCCTTATCCCGCATCAGAGCTTAAAGGAGCGAACGTCCGATTAGACACTCACTGGTTGTGTTTGATCTACATCCGTTGCTACTGCATCTGTTTCAGTGTGCTTGTTTATGGGTAAGCGAAAGACTCGTCAGCCCGAAGATCCGTTTGTAAACAGCACAAAGTCCTTGACTGATCGACACAAGCAGCTCGATCAGCTTCGTCTGGACTTGTGGCTAACAACGGTCAAGCAACTTAAGCTCGTCCGCCTGATCCGAAACGAAATTCCGGATTCTAAGGATGCAGCCGCCCGAAACGTCATTCACGACTTCAGTGAATTGCTCAAGAAACGTATTGAGCAAACCCAGGAAATTCTTGAAGGATCTTTTGATCACTCCATCCACGTAGACAAGAAACGTAGATTGTAGGGAGGAACTTTAATCGGAACCTTTTTTCGCTTCGTTTAACTTCGGTATAGGGTTCTGGTATCGTAAAAGACTTGCGCTGAGAAGTCCAGCTTGTAATGGCTCAAAGAAGGAGTCGTGCAGCTGATCGCCCGTCACCGAACCCTCGTCCTCGTCAACAGAGCCGTGTTAGTGCTCCGAGCGACGCTGAAGCTACCCAACCCACGATGCGAACAAATACAAGATCGCAAGCGTCAAGTGAAGGGGCCAATGCCAATGCACAGGCTGAGTCAGCCTCCCCTGCTACTGATGCTGCTCAGGATGCGGCTGGACCTGAGACCATGTCCATGCAGCAGCTGCTCGTATACATTACGCAGCAGCAACAGCAGTATCAAGCTCAGATGCAAGCGCAAATGCAAGCCCAAATGCAACAAGCTAATGCGAGATTCGAATATCTCGTTGCCGCTAGGGGTGAGCAGAAGAAGAAGGACCCTCCGATGTATGAAGGAAAGTACGGTGAATACATTGAATTGTGGATCTTTGCCACCGAGCGGTACTACGCAAGCAGACGTGAGTTAATGGAGGCAGAATCGTCAGGTTTCGTGACGATAATCTCCAGCAACTTAGGCAAGTCAGTGTTGAGCTTGTATCGCGCTTTTATAGCCGAATGTGAGAGAGCGAGTGTGAGCCCCACGTGGTCGTTGTTTAAGCAACAGCTGCGCACGCGCTTTTGACCAAAGGACTTCGAGTATGATCTTCGCGAGAGAATGTTTCGTCTCAAACAGACCGAGACTATTCACGAGTATGTCTCCAAGTTTCAAGACTTGCTGTCGCAGACAGAATTGACGATCAGTGAGTTGGAGAAACGATTCTTCTTTCAAAACGGGTTACGTGGAGAAACAGCAAAGAAGATCAAAGAAGAGAGTCCATCAACGCTACAAGAAGCCATTGAAATTGCTTCGAGCTTCGAGTTTGCGCACTACTCCGGGAAACCTCCTCGAGCACCTTCGAAGCCTTCGAAATGGTCGTCGGAATCGGGGCATCATCCGCCTAAATCGAAACAGCAGAACAACAAGCGTTACGAAAAGAAAAAGGGCAAGAACGATGATTGGAAGAAGACAGCTACGTGCAGAAATTGTGACAAGGTTGGTCACATTTCTCCAGATTGTACTCAGCCAAAACGTACGGAAGCAAACCGGTACATGCAGGGCGCAGTGTATGCGATCCTAGAGGCTGAAGCTCGAGCATTCAAGACGGAAGACCAAGAGAGGCCCGTCACGATATTCATTGACAACGGCAGTAGCCTGAACGGCGTAACTGAGGAGTTAGTGATGAAGCTTGAGTTGGATGTCACTGAAGGTGATATGATGCAAGTTGATCTCGGTTATGATCAGATTGTGCATCGTCCACGTCGGACTGTAAAAAATGTCTCTGCAGCTACCAGGATTTCCCTTGACAACGGGAACATTCCAAGTCATGCCTGTTCCTGAGGGAAAGGACATAGTTTTAGGCATGATGTGGCTGAGGGAGCAGAACCCTGACATCCACTGGAGTACTGGACAGATTGCACCTCGCATCAACGTGGAGAACACGCAGACTCTGAAGTTGAGACTGCAGAAGACACGTCCAGCCCGTTGGGTGGCAGGACAACGCCGCGCCAGAATTGCGCAGAGCCGTGAGATCTACAACTACTATCGGCAGCATGGCCACAACGGCCAGTTTGGACGAACGAAGGTTATTTCGTCCAATCAGTTCCAGCAAATGTTGCGTAGGGACAAGGACATCGAAGCGGTGTTTGTTATCAATCCGCATGACTCGGAGAAGGCGGAACGCTTCAAGCGTCAAGGATGGGATGCTCTCAAGGACAATCCGGCGTACGATACGCTACGTAAGTATGCGGATACGGTTTTTCGCACGGAACTTCCGAATGAGACACCCCCAGTACGTGAAGGGATTGAGCATGAGATTCTGCTCAAGCCTGATACTTCGCATAGTTCGGTGAAACAATGGCGCCAAAGTCCTGAGAAAAAAAGAATCAGAAGAAAACGATACAGGAATGGACCAAAGAGATGGTTCAAGCTGGCATAATTCGACCGAGTACGTCAGCGTTTTGTGCACCGACTTTCTGTGTGAAGATTATCACAGATTGGCCTGTTCCCAAGACAAAGAAGCAAATGGAAAGCTTTCTGGGGACAACTGTCTACGTTTCTCAATTTTGCAAGGATTTCGCTCAGTTTGCAGGTCCTTTGCCCGAATGTATCAAGGGAAAACGCTCTAGAGATGCGATCGAACTCAATGAGGACCAGCTGCGGTGTTTTGATGAGCTAAAGAAACGCTTGTCATCACCACCGGTTCTCCGTCTTGCTGATGTCACCAAGCCTTTCGGTATTCGAATGGACGCCTCAAATTTCGCAATTGGGGGAGTCTTATTTCAAAAGGAGGGAGAGTTGGAACATCCAATTGCCTTTACTGGCCGGAAGATGAAACCTGCAGAGCTGAACTACCCAGTACGCGAACAAGAGCTTCTCGCAATCATGCATGCTCTGAAGGCATGGCGTGTATATCTGCTAGACAAGCCCTTTCTTGTCGAAACCGATCATAAGAGCATCGAGATGATTCTTACGCAGAAGACAGCGAATAGACGCATTGCGCGGTGGTTCAATGAGCTCGCGGAGTTTCGACCCATGTTCAAGTGGATCCCAGGAGAAACAAATGTAGTCGCAGACGCATTATCAAGAAACCCTGAGTTCGAGCATAAGGCTGCGCAAGTAAGCCTTCAGAAACTTCTTGATACGGCTCAAAACCGTGAGATTGTGGCAACCATGGTAGCGAACAACGTGACTGTGGCACAGTCCGCAAAGAAGATGTATTCGTGGAACAAGGACTTGCAGGGAATTGTCAAGAAGCTTAAGCTTGGAGACAACGTTCCGCATTACTCGCTCAGTGATGGCGTTTTATACTACCAGACCGGTGAAGATGAAAGTCCGCGACTGTATATTCCGGATGACGAAGATCTGAGAGACCGTGTCATTTGCGAGAACCACGATGCCGTAACGGCAGGCCATCCTGGATCGTACAAGACTTACGTCGCAGTACGAGAGAAGTATTATTGGCCGAAGATGATGAAGTATATCCAGCGTTATTGCAACACTTGTGAAATGTGTCAGCGCAACAAGGCGAGACAAGTGAAACCGCCGGGATTACTTCAACCGCTGGAAGTACCAAGAGGTAGATGGATCGACATTTCGATGGGTTTCATTGTGTCCTTACCTCCCAGCAAGGATGGTTGTAATGCCATCGTGGTCATCGTGGATCGATTGACCAAGCGTGCAAAGTTCATTGCAACGCAGACGACAGATAGCGCAGAAGATACCGCGCATGTCTTCATGAAGAACTATGTAAAAGATCATGGCCTTCCGAAGACGATTGTGTCTGATCGTGACTCCAAATTTACGTCCAAGTTTTGGCAGGCTGCTATATCTGCTATGGGAACGCAGCATTACCTGTCATCGGCATTTAGACCACAGACGGATGGACAAACGGAACGTACGAACCGTTTTATCGGGGATTATCTTCGTGGAGTCGTGAACCCAGCCCAGAACGATTGGGATGAGTTTCTTCATATGGCAGAGTTTGCCTACAATCGACGTGTGCACTCGACGATCGGAATGACACCGTTTGAAGCGGATCTTGGGTATATTCCGTACATGCCCGACGAGGTTTCGTTAGATCCGATATTCAACAAGTTGGAGAAAGCAGCAACAGAGTTCTTACTCCGGCAAGAGGTCTTCCTCAAGGTAGCACAAGACCGTATGAGTGAAGCCCAAGAACGCATGAAACACTATTACGACAGGAACAGACTTGTCCAAGACTTCGAGACTGGTGATATGGTGTTACTTGACGGAAAGAACATGGACATCCGCCACAAGGGGTATGCACAGTCGAAGAAGTTATCTCCGAAATTTTTAGACCTTTCCTGATACTAAAGAAGGTGTCTCGAGACTCGTATGAGTTAGGACTTTCGCAAGGATTGAAGCTGCATCCGGTGTTCCATACGTCACTATTGAAGCCGTACCGCAAAGACCACAAGCGGAGGCAAAAGGTGAATAAGATTGTGATAGCCGATGGTACGGAGGGCCAACTCGTTGAAGCCGTCATTGGACATCGCAAGTACAAGGGAAAACCGCAGTACAAGATCTGGTGGCTTGGTGAAACCAAGAAGGAAGCCACTTGGGAGCCCGTAGAGAATCTAACGCAAATTCCCGGACTCATCGACCTCTACTGGAAGTCAAAGAAGAAAGAGAACCCTTTTCTTTAGGAGAGGCTCTTCTTCGAAGGGAGGTCATGTGACGTGGTGGTCACTAGCCAATGGCATGGCAGTGAACAGCCACGTCAATTATTTAAGTTCAGCTAGTCAGATTATTATGATCAGCGTAAACTTAAAATTGCGTGTCTTTACATCATACTACAATCCTATTGGTCCAAAATCCCATGGATTTGCAACAATCAAGCTTCCAGCCGGAAATTGTGATTATGGGACGCTGTGCGAAATTGTCGCCCAAGATAAGAATTAGGATTCATACGCTTTCATTGGCAGTTACAGAGAAAATCAGGATTTGAGAAAGATAGGTTTTAGGATGGACCTGGATACGTGCGTGAATATCCAGTTGTCAAGAATTACTGGTTGTGCGGCAGCTACTAGCTTGCCGCCGCCAACTCTAACTGATTAATCACTTCTCAATTTGCTTTCGAGCAGCAACTCCCCTCCTCCCCTACAACTGTCTACGGCGCCGTACTCGCCGTCTACGCTCCTACGCTTCCTCGCTACTTCGTGACAATTCGAGTCACTGCCGGTTGAACTTGTTGGGGTGGTAGCCTCGCTTCCGGCCTCACTGGTAGGAATCGTAGCTGCACTGCCAGCCTCGCTCGTAGGGGTGGTGGCCTCACTGCCGGCTGGGGTAGTTGCGTCACTACCCTGGCTCTGAGTCGCCGATCCTTGCGTATTCTGGCTGTCACTCGAGTCCGCCGAACTGCCTGCTAGCGATAGGGATCCCTCGCACGGCGCGGATCCCGATGCACTCGTCTCAATAGCCGACGAGCTCGCAACGTCACTGCCGGTCGCAGAGCTACCCGTAAGCGAGGGCGTCTCGTCGGACGTTGAGGAGCCCGAAGTGGTTGACGACGTGTCACTGCCGTACGAACCCTGATCAATGGCACTTGATCCCTCTACGGCACTGCCGGTGTACAGGTCGGGACCTCCCGAGCTACTCGAGGTGATACCCGTCTTGCCGGGAGTTGGGGTTGAGGTGCCCTGGTCGATAGCGGACGAACCTTCCACGGCACTTCCCGTGAACAGACCGTTGCTGCCGGAGCCGCTCGGAAGAGCTGTGTCTTGCTAGGGTACGATGTGGCCGCTGAGTTTGATTCGGTGCTAAGGTCAACAGCCGACGACGCATCTACTGACGCTGGCGTTTCCTGAACGACCGACTCGTCCGCGGGCGTCGCCGTAGTGACCGATGGCACGTTCACGCCACCACCGTATCCCTGCTCAATGGCAGTGACGCCGTTCATGGCAGCGGCGGCGGCGACAAATAGTGAGAGGGTCTTCCAGGACAGCATCGTTATGATGGAGCGTAGGTGAGGTAGAGTGCTGCTGTGGTGTGAATGCCGAGGCAAATTGATTAATGAGTTTTATCGGATCGAGTCCGCCATCGACGATGGTCCCAAGAGTACCTGTCGTGAGAGTTGTCATCTGCACTGCTCAGATCCAGCTGGACGATTATTTTATTCGGTGCGACGTCACTCGACTCGACGGCCACAAACCTCGAAATTGTCGAGGAATGTCGTCAGCTGAAAGTGGACGGGCGCACAAAATAACTCTGTTTGTGCTTAAGCTTCTGGCCATCTGCTCCAGCTTGGAGCCCAAGCGCTCCGCACGAACACGGTGCAGCTGGGCCTACAGCAAGCTCGAAAGGATGAGGTTTGCAGCCGTCTTTATCGCGAATGGCGTGGATGCTGCCGTTGCGTTGCTCCTGTGCCGTCGATTCCTGACATCTTCGCTCTTGAATCAACACCGTTGATCGAAGTTTCGAGTCGTACTGTACAGTATCGGATACTGGTACATGTACATGCGCACGTCTAACATGAGAAGTTGCCTCTCCGAAGTGCTAAGCAGATTTGCAGTGTGGTCAACAATTTTATTATATTTCCCCGAATCTAAAACATGCAGCAACAACGTCTTTCTTGACAATTGGAGAGCTACTGTACAACGTAAAATTTATACGGTACAGAAATCTGCCTGAATAAGGAACGGGGTTTCAACTAATAACCTCGCAATTTTTATAGTCGGGAAAGATTTAGGGAGATGGGATAGTGATGGGCAAGGTACTGGCAAAACAATCCAATTTAAAAAATGGGCGCGCAGTAGGTGATCCTCCTTCGCTTCAAGCCCTACGAGCCGAACTTCATTCCTACATTTACATTCAACCTCACTAGCCGACTGCGTCCTCAGCACCCCCATGTCCTCCAATCGTCTCCGCCTCACCTGATCCGAGAAGGTAGCCATCCTCGAGAAGACTTCTCGCTCACCTATTCTGTCGTATAATGAGCCAGCTGAGTGGATCGCCTAGGCGAAGGCCGTACAACGTCGACCAGCTAACTACACTGCTATGGTGCGATGCTGCATGGTCTAAAGTTAGCGCTTCCACGATTCAGCACTGCTGGAATCACTCAGGGCTCATTCAAAAGTCGAACCTTCAATTTATCCTAACTTAATTCAATACATGCCCATGATCCGATATTATAGTCTGTTTTTAGCGAGGCATTGTCAGCTTATGCAATCTCTTTTTTAATTTATATCAGGCGTTCCTTATTCAGGCAGATTTCTGTATAGCATGTACAAAACTCGAAATTTTAAAGTACATCGTACTGTACATAGGATTGCGAGGAAGCACTGTGTATTTGGCCATTGGAGCCATCGGGTGGCACAGTGGTCAAGATGGAACCTCCGTAGCCTTATTCAAAATCCGCGACGACGCTCACAGCCGCGTAAACAAGCAAGGTAACCTTCCAGGATAGCGTAACTGCTCGCGTGTACAAGTGGGGAAAGCCGAAATGGATGCTGTGACTTGGTAAGTTGGCGAATGAGCTATCCGACCAACCGAGCTTATGCGCCGTTACGGAGGAACAGAGAGGCGGCGTTTGCAGCAAACGAGATCACCCACAGACCTTGCGTTCTAAAATATGCCTCGCACCGTGCTGCACGTGGATAAGCAAATAGAATTTCTGGACAAACATCGCAGACAGCGCATGAACGAGCTTGATGCGTGTGAGTGTGAGAATAAACATACCCCAGGCCGCTGGTCCACTTGCAGACCGATAGCGGGCGTGGGCGATTTTACTCTATTAATACGTAAGGCGTCATGGACGGACACTGGCGAAATGAGTTTCGACGCACGATCGACGGGTCAGAGAAAGTTCCGTTTCATTTTATCCATATGGCTACAGAGCTCAGTCATTATTTCCGGACAACCGATATTCCGTTCAGTCAAAGACACTTGTAGTGTATCTGCGGCGCTTGGGAGACCCGTTGGTCTCCTCCACAGGTGTCTGTTTGTGTTGCTGGTCCATGGTCGGGTCCAGGTGTCCTTGCACGGGCAACACCTGATCGAAGCCCCGACGCGTGCTCAGAAAGCGGTCGTTTTCCAGCAACACGCCATGCAATAGACACTGCACAGGCCAGAGGAACTGCTCGTCACCTATGGTCTTCTCTAAGCCACCGATGCCACCGCTACGAACGATCTGTTTCGCTCGGATCGGCACGTCCAATACTTCTTCCAACGGGAGTCGCTTGTACCCGGCCATGGCTGCCTGTGCGGACGAGAATCCAGTGACGGAGCCTCCATCGGCTGCAGCCACCGCTTGCTTAGCTCTACGACGACGATACTCGTGGAACAGATAGCGAGCAGCCAACCCGAAGGCTGCGATGCACAGAGAGAGGAGGAGGAGTTCGATCAACGGCGTGTAGATCACCCACAGCACTGACGTCTGCGCTTTAGACGGTAACACGTGCAGCCTGTCTTCGAAGGCATTGCTAATCGTCGAGCGACCGGGAAACGCGGCGTTGTCCACGACCCGCTGGCGTTCCATGTCATGCTTTGTAGGTAGAATGGAGAGCAAACGGCTACGAAGCAGACAGCCAGCCACGACCACAGCAGCTACGAGCTCGCTGCTAGACACGAACGTACGCGTCGCTAACATGTACGCGCGTCCTTCGTCTACAAACACGACGATCCCCCACAGAAAATGAACCAGTTGCAACAGCAAGACCCACACACGCAGCCCCGACAAGAGCGTGTGGACCCACGCGAACGAGGACGACGTCTCATCGCCACTGAGTTCCCACACTGCAGTGTGAGGAAGTAGCAACAGCCACGACAGAAGCGCAGACACAGTCATGAGCATCGCCACCAGTGAGCTGTGCACTAGCGAGCATGCAAAGAGAGTTGCTCGTCCTTCTCCTGTGACCAGGTCCCGCATCTCTTGCTTCGTAGGAGCACGCAGCAATGGCGGGAGGACGAGTCGCTCTAGCAACTCAACAGACGTCCACGCGTGCATCACCAGTAGCACCACGTCGATTAAAATCATCACGTTGTAAAGGAAGCCGGAACAGCTCAAGTTCAACGTTGTGGACACTTCTAGTCGCCCCTGAGAGTGCGAAGAGGGTGGGAGATACTTGTAGCTCCGAACAGCGTTCTGGCGGAAAATGAAGCGCAGGCCCAGCACGTCGACTTCATCTGCTGTAAGCCGAGCTTTGTCGGTCTGTAGCGCTGCGAAACCTGTCGCGAAGGGCCCCACAAACGCGACAGTAGTGCCAGGAATGTCTGGACTAGCACAGCCGAAGATCCATCTTAAAGGCTCCTGTTGGTCCGGTTGCGGGTCGATCTCTACGCCCCCAACGCACACCACGTTACTCAGCGGCACGCTCTTGCCGACCATGTCAAGAAGCGCCCGTAGCTCGCGCTCCGCCCCAGACATTGGTGGGGCCATCATTGTGCTAGTCACATGAGGCGATCCAAGCCGATATTTGTGCAAGAAAGTCGTGACCATCGCGTCCTGGCACAGTGGTGGCCGTCGCGTCACGTATAGTAGTTTACATGCTGCCCAAGCCATGGCGTCGACGCGTATATCGCTGGTGAGAACCATCGTTGACAACTGTGGTGACATCTCTTCGGTCAACCCGTCCGGAGCCGAACAGTTGACCGCTAGGACATGCAGGTAGTGAGAGTGGACGCTCCCCCCACTTTTGCTGCTCCCAGTGAGAGCTCGAAGTCCGCTGCAAGTTTCGTGAAAGACGCGCCACCCGGTTAAACTCTCGCTCGGCCGCTTTTCATCCTCAGGATGGAGATCGTCCAGAAGAAGTACGGAATTCCTGGTCGTGAAAGCGAAGGCGTCACTTGGTCCGAGCCAACGTGTCTTGAACCACAGATCCCGGGCGTCGAGCGCTAGTAACAGCAACAAGACGGCCGCATCCAGCAGAACGCGAAGCTTCCAATTCATTTCGAGCTGTTGAATTACTAGGCAGTCGCGACCGCTGGGGACACAGGAGGCGATGCGGGGGCGTGTTGATGAAATCAAAGACCTAACTAAAATTGTCCTTGACTTGACTACTTCGACCCTCTCCAAATGTCCTAAGCTGTTGATTTGATTTTTCTAGAGCTGGGGAGACAGAAAATACGACACCGACCCGATGTACTCGAATTCACGTGGGTTGAGAATCTTCGATCTGTTGGTGCTAATCTTTTTTTCCATGTTGGTCTGTGTCGCAGTACACAAGATGTGGACGAGCTTGTCTTCCTTGTCACCGTAGCTACCCCTGGTGCATTGCGGCGGCAGCTACAAGTTATGTAATTTGCATTCAGGTTGGTATAAGCCACTGCCCTCTTAGCGATCACACCCAAGTGAAGTTAGTGATAGACAACCCGGTTGAGAACCCGCCTAGTGGCAATGACAGCACTGATTTCCTTACATTTCCGGGCAGTGGAAGATTTCCAGCACTGATGGATATGTCTAGCTTCCTAGCGAAAGAGGCAGGACCCCAACGGGTCCGCAAGTCACGTTTCAACGAGTGGTGGCGAAGAAAACCCGGTGGATCCATGGTCCGTCCCCATCGCCTCCGCCAATAAAAAAAAAAAAAAATTGCTCGGATGAATATTTTGCATGTAGGTACTGTACATATTCGTCTGAGCAAATAAATATTATATTTCGAAGTACAGAAGTATTTTCAAATCCTTTCTCGGCTAGCCGAAAGAGGTGCACGACGTTGCTCAGAATTTAGTAGTCGTGCCAAGTTGAACACGCAAACTTTATCCACGCCTGAAGCTTTGTTGGCTTGATGGAACATTGTTTTCGCGACCGCGCACTTGTAAATAGCTGTTGCCTCTGGTGATATAATCCTGCTGCAACAGCATCGTCCCCAATTCATTCGCATTGAGACGGCTGCGGCTTTCATTCTTCCGAGCCTGCTGCAGACCCAGCTGCACTGTGTTCGTGCGGACCGGTTGGAGCAGATGTCTTGGGCCTTAAGGCTCCGGAGCGTTGAGCATACGCGCCAATCCACACTTTGGTATTCCTCTGCAATCTCGCTGTTTATGACTCGAGTCGAGTGAAGTCGCATTGACACTCGCACTGAATAAAAACAATTGTCCAGCTGGATCTGAGCAACGCGGTGAGGTGACAGACATTGCTCGCGTCTGCGGCGCAGAGCTGTAGGTCGGCAGGCCCCTGTTGCAACAGGCACTCGATCGATAGGTGTCTGATAGGCTTTTTTCGGTCAGTCTGGCAAGCTCATTATTCAATTTGCCTTAGCATTAACACCACAGCAACACTCTACCTCACCTACGCTCCATCATAACGATGCTGTCCTGGAAGACCCTATCACTATTTGTCGCCGCCGCCGCTGCCATGAACGGCGTCACTGCCATTGAGCAGGGATACGGTGGTGGCGTGAACGTGCCATCGGTCACTACGGCGACGCCCGCGGACGAGTCTGTCGTGCAGGAAACGCCAGCGTCGGTAGGTGCGTCGTCGGCTGTTGACCTTAGCACCGACTCCAACTCAGCGGCCACATCGTACCCTAGCAAGAGCGACACAGCCCTGCCGAGCGGTAGCGGTAGCAACGGTCTGTTCACGGGAAGTGCCGTGGATGGTTCGTCCGCTATCGACCAGGGCACCTCGACCCCAACCCCCGGCAAGACGGGTATCACCTCGAGTAGCTCGGGGGGTTCCGACCTGTACACCGGCAGTGCCGTAGAGGGATCAAGTGCCATTGATCAGGGTTCGTACGGCAGTGACACGTCGTCAACCACTTCGGGCTCCTCAACGTCCGACGAGACGCCCTCGCTTACGGGTAGCTCTGCGACCGGCAGTGACGTTGCGAGCTCGTCGGCTATTGAGACGAGTGCATCGGGATCCGCGCCGTGCGAGGGATCCCTATCGCTAGCAGGCAGTTCTGCGGACTCGAGTGCCAGTCAGAATACGCAAGGATCGGCGACTCAGAGCCAGGGTGACGCAACCACCCCGACCAGCGAGGCTGGCAGTGCAGCCACGATTCCTACCAGTGAGGCCGGAAGCGAGGCTACCACCCCAACAAGTTCAACCGGCAGTGACTCGAATCCTACTCAGACGGAAGCATCTGCAGCCACGGAGAGCAGCGGATCGGCCACGTTTCCGAGCACAGGCACAAGCTGCAAGCTTCGTCTTCGCCGCAACTAGATGTGCAAAATGTGTGAGGCGATGTAGTGTTTGATTATTGATGTAAGTTTGTCTTTAGAGTCCGGTTTTCACATGTCAGTCCATTCGTTGCTTCCGATAACATCAAATAGGAAACAATTTCAAATGTAGCATGCTCAACGTATGGTGAAAACTTACTGAGGATGAAGTTTGACATCATCAGTTCACCGTCAAGTGACACAAGTTCTGCTGCGCAACTGATCCTTCCACTTGGGCGTCTAATCTAACAAGAATCTTGCAACCTGCTAATAAAACCGATGTACCGGTCATCGATCTAAAATCAGCCTATTCCTAGATAGCACTTGCTGAGACCTCAGAGCCAAGTCCTTGGCACAAGCGCTTGGAGATGCAGATGGCTCTGAATTCTAAGTTTGGTGTAGCGCCATACGACTGAACCTGCGAGTTTTAATCCACACATGATGGCAAGTAGACGCAGCCATGCGGATCGAACAACAGAATAACGAGTGTAGACATCTGCAAACTCGGAAGAGTCTTAGCTGACACCTTTAAAACCTTAGCGTGTTCACTCTTTGCTGTGACACTACCTTGATCGCCGAACCAGGATCCGAGCGCGCATTTTTCAATTGGCCAGCATTCCTCATCTCGATTACAATGTTGTCCTTATAGACGATTTCGCTAGCAGGGAACCCGAAAAAAAAATATGCGTAAAAATTAATCCCAATTTTTTAATTTAATTCTTAATATATGGCTGCCAGCAACGGGAACAACCCCAATTTTGAGTAAGGTCTAGTCAAGTTACAGCGTAGGGACGCGCTGAACGTCGCGGAAAAATTAGCCTGCGCTGAATTTAGGTCGCCTGATCTCGAACGGTCGTCTTCAAAAGCCGCCGAAGAGCGTTCTATTGTGAGAGCGGCGTTCAAGAAACGCAATTGCGCACTACGTCGACGTCGCGTACATCCCGCCAACGTCTAACGAGTGTGAGCGCTTCTTCTCTCTCGCTAAGCTGGTACTGTCTGATCTACGGAAGCGAATGTCTCCAGCTAGGCTCGAGATGATAATGCTTCTGAACTACAATCGTGACTTACGAAGTTTTGCAAATAATTGAATTATTAATTTTCTCAGCTCACATCGATGGATTAATCTAAGTATTGCATTTTCGGGTTCCCTGTTCGCTAGTCGTCACCGCTGCCGTGGCCATGAACGGAATCACCGCTCTCGAGCAGGGCGACCCTGCTAACGTTCTCCAGAGCAATCTCGCCCCGTCCGATTCTCCTGTGCAGTCGCAGACGCTGGCTCCTGCCTGGACGACACCGACACCAACTGCGTCTAATGGCGGATCGTACTCGTACGACAGCACGGACTCTTCCGTTGCCGGTTCGTCAGAGATCGATGAGGGTAGCGATACCAAGTCGAATGGCGCGTTCACAATTCCCCCTTCCACTGACTCTGGCAGTGAGTTCAACCCCAAGAGTCCACCTCCATTGCCGTCGAGCCCCGGTAGCGTTTCAACCGGCAGCGATCTTGGCGTTGGCAGTGACTCCGCTCCAAACATCAAGGAAGGTCTCCCTTCTTTAAGGAGCTCTGGAAGCAGCCCCACAGGCTCACCGGATCTTAATGAAAACGGTGATTACACGACGAGCAACGCTGGCAGTGACGTCGAAGGATCAAGCGCTATCGACGAGAGCAGCGGTTCCGCGTCTGTGGACCAGGGCGAGGTCACCTTCCCGCCTACAAGTGGATCTAGTAGCGAGGTTGCTGGATCAAGCTCCATTGACGATAATAGCGGCTCTGCGTCGAAGGGTAAGAGCGACGGCATCCAGCGAAGTGGTGATGGCAGTGAGAGTCAGGGCTCGACTAGCCTGCCCGAGAGCAGCACTTCGGCATCAGCACCGTGTGACGAAGCACTCTCGCTGGCGGGCAGCTCTGCGACCGGTAGTCAAGTTGACAGTTCGTCCGACACCGATCAGAGTGTCCCTGGTTCGGAGTCTGGTAGCCAACCTAGCGGATCTACCGGTCCCTCTGAGGACAGCAGCTCGTCTCCGTCCAAGTACCCCTCACAAACACTCGAGACTGGCAGCCAGGTCGAGGGCTCTTCCAATATTACCCAAGGCAGCGACGCCAACAGTCCCAACCAGTCGGATGACTCGACCGCCATCGAAAACAACGGCACGCCGCCATCGAGCAACCAGAGCCAGACGAACGGTAGCAAGGCGGCGGGATCCTCTGCTTCCGAGCCGACGTTCCCGAGCAGAAGCACAAGTTGCAAACGTCGTCTCCGCCAATAAGTTTCGATGTTGGTCCAAGTAAGTGCATTCGTGAGGTAACGTTATCTCGTCAATGGGTATCCGAACAACGCAAGGATTAAATCTGAGAATCTTCTCACGATGTGGCAACGCATTTTTTGACCAACGCACCAAATATTTAGTGCGGGATATAACGTCATTGAGTGTAGATTTTGCATCAACTGACCAAACAAAGGCAAGAAATTTATCCAACGGTACCATAACATAGGTACATGTATAGCTTCTTTCCCGCCACGCATATTTTGCGCGGCAAACCGACTCATTTCTTATTTGCGTACATGTATTACCAAATATCTCAACCGCTCGTATTGTGTGTATCGACAATGGACGCTGCCTCGCGTGAGATCCAATGGCTCAAAAAAATCATGAAGGGGCTGGGCGACGACCAGAACAGCGACTGTTCAAGGCCGACTATGCAAAAGACAACGGAGCACTCTGCAACGCAGCAAACGACCGCATCGTATCGGGACGACGACGACAGCGAACTGGATCGACTGATGCGTCGTGCGGTGCTTCTCCTGCGCATCAAGGCAACGAATGCACAGCGCGATATCGTTTTGTTCGGGGAAGATGGTAAAGCTTCTGACGAGTCGACTGATGGCGAAGACAGGGACGAGGAGCTGGACGAACTCCTGCAGCGAGCAGCCCTACTACTTCGGCAGAGGTTGGGCAGACAGAGCCAACGTGGTGTCAAAGCAGTGGCAGTGACTGCTGAAGCCACGTTGCAACAAGAAGTAGGCGACGAAGAGCTCGACAGATTGCTGCGACGAGCCATGTTGCTGTTTAATAAACTGTCAACTAGGGAACAGAATGCCGAGATAGACGCAGAGTTAGATGATGTGCGTCTGAAAATGATTTCTGTAGTGAAGGGGTCCGCTTCACCAGGATCACCGGGTGCGACCGATGGTGAAGACTACGAGGAGGAGGAGGACGACGAACTGGATCAGCTGCTGCGTCGGGAGATGGCTGAATTGCGACACCAATCGAGCTCTCCTGTCGAGGAAAAAGTGTTGATGAGGAGCAGGATGTGAGACCGATGGGATGGAGGAAGGCGCTGAGGCTGCAGCATATGAGCCGGTTGCAACGACAAGAGCGCCAGAAACGACCTCGAAATGAGGTGGAGGTATCCACCGAGAGAAAGCGCAAACGTGCTCGGTGTCTGATTGAGCTCCAGGAGGACGAAGAAGAAGATGCTAAAGAGAGCGAGTCACGTAGATCAGCTACTATCGTTGAGGAGCCTATTGTAACAGATTCTAGGGCGCTATCTCCCGTGGAGATCACGGTCAAATCAGAGCCACAACAATCTCATGACCAGCGTCAGCCTGAAGCTGAACAAGTAGAAGAAGAGATGCGCCCAGAGCTGCACTGCATTACGCCTTCAAACTCAGTTAGTGAGCGGCTACAGATTGTTGAGGCCTCGAAGCAGACACATGCAGGAAACGACGCTTTACTCTCGACACTTCGAGCAAGCAATGTAGAGCTGATGGAGGAGAACGCGTCTCTGAAGCAGCAGCTTCAGCGTCAGAAGGCCGATACGCGGATGGTGCAGCTACTGCAAGAGCAGGTGCAGCGACTTCAGCAGCGCGAACTCGAGCTCATGCGGGCACTGATAGGTGCCTGAGGCTTAGCCGGTTTTCAATTTTTCGCACCAGGCTGACGTACTTGTTTGTGTCCATAGGCTCGACACAGCTACAGTAGTTGAAGTGGCACCTACGTTACATATTTCTTTATTCTATTTAGCATTCTTAAAAACTCACTTTCTTAACTATCAATGTTAATTAACAAAAAGTCGTTAAATTCGTCGATTGGTTGAAATTATTATTGGCGCGCTATTTTTAGCGTTTTGGTTGTCCCAATCCATTTCAGTCACTTGACTATGGACGTACCACCACCTGCGCCTGTGGCCGTGCGGACCGACGCCGCTGCACCCGCTCGCTCACCGCAGAAACAGCAGAAGAACCACAGGCAGAAGAGCAAGAAAGGCAGCAATGGGCCACAGACGCCGTGCGGTAATAAGCCCAAGCGACGTCGCAATAATCTGAAGCAACCGTTGACGAAAGACATGCCGCGCGTGATGTCCGAGCTGCTGAAGGAGCCCAAAGTAGCGCTGCTGCATCGCGTAGTGAAGAACGTTGGCCCCAAAGTATCGTGGCAGCTACTACGCGAAACGCTGCGGCTCGAGAAAGACGGCGGTCAAATAGTAAACGCTTTGGGCAGTGGCAAGCCTGAGCTCTTCTTGGTGGTGGACGAGGTTTCGCGAGAATATAAGCCGCGACGTCGTACGTCCGGTGGTGTATTCTTCACGTTACTTAAGGACAAGGTGTCCAAGGAGGTGTACCGCACTATCTACGAGGTGGAGGACAGGAAGAAGAAGGACACCAAGAAGCGCGCCCGCAACCGCCAGAGGCAAAAGATGGAAAACACGCTGGCCAAGTTGGGCTTCGACGAGTTGTCACTTGCACCGGGAGGCGGGGGCCTTGCTGCTACGAGTGGTGATGGGACTGGTGCACACGTTGTTCCAGTTCCGGCAGGGATCGCTGCGACAGGAGCCGAAGAGGGCGAGGTGGCGGTGGAAGATATGCAGATCAGCTGAGAGGCAGTGAGCGGATTTTTTTGAGAGGCTTGCTGCAACAACGCCCGATTTAACCAACGAACAATACCATCTACTTACGTTCTGCTTCAACAGTACTTGATCGCACGGGTGTCAATGTTGCTGCCGCAGGCTGCGTACAATAATGTTGCCATGCGCTCAAAAGTCATTCATTGAAGTAGAAAGAACACTTACTTCAAAGCGCAACAATCGACGAGCGTCCATCCTGGTTGAGTTAGCTCAAGTGACAGCGGCGACGCGACGAGGGCCAAGTCAGACCGCTCATCCTGAACCTAGTGGCCATCAGAATGACTCAGTCAATCAGCAGCAAGGGTTACGCCTGTGTTGCGAGCGTATTACGGTACATGTAATAACTCTAAGCGCTCGCCACCAGCGATGTGAGCTAACGCTGTTGCGCGGGATAGCTTTGTGAGTGCAGAGGCTGTGCCAATGGCAGGAGGCACGGCCAAAACGTTTACGTCGTTCGCCAACTTTGGTTGAAAGGCAGAAAAAAACTGAAGCAATAAAGTTTTCACACGAATTGTACAGTACCCAGATTGGTGAGGTATTCATTGTAATACTCGGGCTTGTATTCATAATTCCGATGTGATCCCACGGCCATATTCTACTTTCCGATGAATTGTCGTTTCGTCGTCCGATTCGGAGTGGATGGAATATGGGCCATATTATGGCGGGGCGATGACCGGTGGGCCACCGGCGGTGGCCATTTGCCACTTCAACCGCGAAGATTTAGTCTCCAGACTGGAGTCCAGTAGTTCAGGCAACGTGTCAAGGTATAGTACAGACATATAGGTGGGAAGTAAACGTACTGTAAGCTACTAAACGTACTGTAAACTACTGTACCCGAAGTTGCTAACGTTGTGGTGGCGGCGAAATGTAGCCGCACTCATTCGTGGCGCCCTTGGCGCCTTTAGCTGTAGAGCGTGGTAGCATAGCTACTGTAGCATCGTCGCGACCGTGGTTCTTTATGCAGAAGTTCAACCGTCACATTTCCAACTCTGTTGCTTCGATCGTCTCGCGGAAGTTGTCAATGCCATGCATTACCGGGCAACTGATACAGTACAGTATTTCCATGGCGATGTTTGGCGTCCGCCGAGCCTCAGCACGCGGTTTGTGTAGTCGCTATATATTGTCGGTCAATGAGTTCTTTATCACTAATGCTGACAAGAGTCGCCACACACCGTGCGAAACGCAATGTTTTTAACATCCCTGGCATGTTGAAGTGCGATCATCTGCCGTTGCGGCCAGGGCCGCCGATTATGATATTTATATGAATGGAAGGCTCAGTGTGATCATAAATAATTTGACGTTGTCTAGCAATCGACTTCATAAATAATGTCATATCTGCTAGTGATAAATCAATTATGGTGATCGACTCGTACTTGTATTGATTAGCGCGTTATGGACTACAGGAGTTGATCTACAGTAGAAACATCCCAAAAGCGCGAGTTTTCTCGTAGAAATAGGATCATTTCAAGCGTAATAGGCTGTAGGCCATTACGCTCGTGCCCAAGAGTTGTGCGAGCAATACTGAAGAATCGCTCCACCTTCTTCGAGGTGGCGGGGATGCTGCCAGCGAGGCAGTACCGAGCTTCTCTTGCTTCAAGACGGCGACGTTTCTCCAGCCGCTGCACCAGTGACTCCGGTTCGGCTTCTTCGCTATGGTTTGTCGGGTCCGTGGCTACTTCGAGAAATGGACGAAGAGCCCGCTTCTCCGACGCGGTGAGGCGGGCTCCATTTCCTTTGAGTACACGGACACAGCCCGACTCAAAGTCTGGGCTATGAACGATATTTGCTCGAGGTCCTGCGTGTATCATAATTAGTTAGTGAATATTAAAAACAATAGTAACATTGGATAACGTACCGATAAAAGCAGCGAACACGGGATGGGCTTCGATAAGCCCGTCGAACCAGACTCGCACGTCCAGTAGGCTCACACTCTCCGCTTGGAAGGCCTTGGAAACCGACTCGAAGTCCTTGAGATCTGCGTAGAGCGTCTTAAGACGACGGTTGCATGCCGCAGACGGAAGCAGGTCCTGAAGTTCTTCGTCGTCTTGGTCTAGGAACTCCAGTAGAGCGAAATAGCGATGTACCATCGCGAAGGTGGACCCCTAGCGAGAATGACTGGGCGAAGTGGAGTCTTAAATCTAGTAATAAAAACACCAATTAAAAATATCATATTAGTGGCATAATAGTAACACAACAAGGTATTAGTATTAATATCAATAGTAAAGTAAAAATTACTTACCGAAGTTTCGCCGACTGCTTAATCGTCCTCAGCTTGGTCATCAGGGCTTGCACTGCAGCCAAATCGTCGTCGTGTTGGGCCATGTGCTGACGAACGGCTCGATTTAGTCGGTGACTAGAGCATCCAACCAAAGGCACTTGCATGATGGTTGCCAACCGCCTGTTCACTGAACAGTTGTCTCCAACCAGGTACTTGCAGCATTTTACATCCTTACCATAATCTCGCTCGAACATTCCCACCAAAAACTCGCGGTGGGTACGGGCCGACAAGTCCTCGTCGGGCTCGTTAATCACCGGGGCCATGCTCAGAAGCGCCGTCTTAGCAACGCCATCGAGCTCATAGAACGCAAAAACTGCGACGTAATGTTCGGATGAGTGGGTCCACCCATCGAACATGAAGCCAAAAGCATCCGGTAGCTCTGCCGCAATAGCTGCTTCAACGGAGCGAGTGACGCCTTCGAGCAGCGCACGCAATGTTTCCACTGAGATAGGTCCAAAGAAGTGTACCTAATCAAGCATATTCATATTAGTATAACCATTATTATAGAGTAGTAATAGTAATTCATACCGGCGAGCGAGAGGGTTCTCACAGAACATGAGAGGCAGATTTGCCTCTACAATCCACTCAAGCCAGCCGAACCGGCTCACGGCCGTGCGGCGAGCATAGTGCACCACCGAACCGGTTTGAGCGGTTGTGGCTGCGAGCATCTCTTCTTGGAAGGTTGGATGCTCGCTGCGCACATGCTGCATGAGATTGGTGTAGCCATTTCGGCTCGTCTGCTTGCGTACCTTACCGCAGCGGCAGCGAAAGTACTCCGGCACAAGCTCATCGTACTGGTCACGGCACGGTGAGTAGAAGTACGCCACAATCTGGGCGTTGGAGAAAGTTGACCGGGGACGAGGCGTAGCTAGCATGAGGTGTAGAGCTTGTAGGAGAAGTAGAAAATTGGAAAGTGAGGAGGCAGTGTGTCGGATAGATGTTTGAATATATGATTGGTTCGGAGAGGCTAACCGAAGGTAAGCTTTTCCGTATACTAACCTAAGTAAGAAGTGTACCTTCTCATAAATTATGCATAAAAATAGTACCTTGGTGGCATAAATTATGATCTACTACTTTTCACGACTCATAAATACCTAATGTGATAATATTTATGACCATTACTGTAAGTGCCGTTTATTTTTCGGCGGCCCTGTCGGATTCTCTTTCGAGCGCACCTGCTGGCAGTGCTGCCATAAGCAACCAGTTACTGTGGACAAACGACGAAGGCCATGTGCGAGTTACATAAGAGGAACGTCTTGCATGAAGGTGTAATCGAATTGTCCTGCTGTAAAGATACGCCTTTGGTTGAATTTCGACTGACGTCCATCGTCACTTGCTTTTTTGCCAGAGTGGTACACTGTACCGATCATTTCGAGCTCGATTGAAGAAGAAAAGGGACTGTGTGACCATCACCAAGCGACATGTACAGAGTACTGAATTAATACCATCAAGACCGTCGAAACGCTGGGAAGGAGACTGCCGCACCGGCACAAACGGCTGATACAGGATTATTACCGTCCTCAAGCTCCTGCCGGCTGGACATCTCCCTTGCCCTCTCAATGACAAGTTAAACGTGAGCTTGCTTATAAGTTGAACTTGGGCAGCGAAGTACCGGTACAGTCGCAAAAAGAGACATAGTCAAAACAAGTGAACCCGTTCCGGTTCCCCTCCCTTTTCCACTTCACTGAAGCCCACTATGACATGAGCGATGCAGACGTGAACAGCTCAGCTCTTGTCCCGACCCATAGTCTGATTTGCATCGGCTCGCACACATTGCGTCCAAAAAAAAGAAAGCGTACTTAGCAGGGACACAGGAAGAATGTTGGACTTGATGCAGGCTCTGCACCACGCGCCATCGACGGACACGGAGCTCAGTGGCCTGATGCTGAGCGACGAGGAGCTGGGCGAGCTGGGACTCGAACAGCTGGAGCACAATGCAGATGCCGCCGTGATGGCCATCATGCTTCCAGGTACATTGTCTGAGGACGAGCAGGGTAGCCCCAGGGACCAGGAACAGGACGAGCTGGACTCGCTCTGGAGCGCCGCGTTGGGTGAGCCGTCGTCAGCTCCAAGTCCGCATGAACAGGACCCGGAGCAGGACGAGGCCATGGACCAACTGGACGAAGATCTGGTGTGTGGCGAGCTGTCCGAGAGCGGACCGGACGAGGTCATGACGATGATGATGGAGCCCGAGGCGTCCATGCACGCCGACGCGCTCTTCCCGTCGTCCTCGGTAGCGCCGCTGCCTCCACTTGGCCTTCGCAACGCTCTAGTGCCGCCCTCTACGACGGAGAAGAAGCGTCGAGGCCGCAAACCCTCCGCCAAGGCTAAGGAGAAGAAGCCCAAGCGTCCGCCGCCAAATGAAGCCAAGGCGCGTCTACGCAGCTACGAGCGTCGCAGTCGTCACAAGCGAGAGGTGAGTCTGCAGCTGCTAACATGAGTTATCATTGTGTGTCAAGTGGACTGACATGTCTGTGTTTCTTTCCGGTGGTGTCCGCTGTCGACGTCTCTTGACGCTGCGTTTTGACATTTTGCGTAGTACACGATGATGACGATGAAGGAGACGGTGGCGGCCATGGAGAGCCGCATCCGGGAGCTGTGCGAAGGCGTCAAGTCCGAGAGCCCTACCCGCCAGAAGATCTCGGAGCTCACGATGGAGGCCACGCACCTCACGAACCACAACTATAGTCTCCGCAAGGCTCTGGACGACCACCGCTTCTTCCACTCGATGCTGCAGCTCGAGTACGACCATGTACGTGAACGAGTGTTGGTGTTTAAAACACTGGATACGACTTCTTATTGATTGTCTTAAACGTTTGTTTAAAACACAGCGCGAGACGACTTCGGACTCGGTCGCCGACGAGCTCTTCGACCTGCACACGCCGCGATCGTGGCGTCCTATGGAAGAAGCCACGTGTCTGCGCCTCATGCGCGACTCGTTCCTCGAGATCGAGGCCTTCTCCAACAGCGAGGACTTTGTCACAAGCGGCCTCGAGATCTGCGGCTGGCGCGAGAAGCGCAAACTGGTGGGCAACAACGTGAACTTCATGTTCCACAAGAAATTCGCCAAAGATTGCAGCGAAGACCTGGCTGCGCGTAGCTGGGAGATGCGCGCCGTCCAGGACCAGGTGACGCGCTACTTCGGCCTCAGTCTGGAGGTCAAAGTCGAAGTGCTACAGCGCTTCGAGAACGACGTGGTGGTAGTGCGTCGCAAGATCAAACACACCGTCGATGGGTGGGTGCACCACACTATTTACCTCTTGTTCCGAACCAAGACCCCGGATGGACACCTCGTGTGTATCCGGGATATGAATCCGGAAGACGCGAATGATTTAAACATCATGTCGGGTGCAGCCACGCCGCCGTCGCAGTGCGTCATCTGGTCCAAGGCGTTCATTTGGTGGAAGTTCACGACGCTTCCGGAGGAGAAAGGCCATCGGATCCGCGGCTTTGAAGTCGAGTACGGAGGCTCATTGGGCTCGGCCACGTCGGCCGACGCTGCGTTCTGGATGCGAGAAGTGCTGGTACTAGCCTTGAGGTGGGAGAACCTGGTGGTGGGGCCGCTTATCACTCTGGGCTAAGGAGTTCAGCGTTGTGGGAAGGGAGGACGCAGCTCTACTGTCTGGTCCCAGGAGCCCGTTGCTAGTTATATTATGAGTTAGCGTTTGTTGTAGGAAAAAAGTTAGTTAGGCGTTCGATAATAATTAGGAAAACGTTGTTGTACATTGAGAAAAAAGTGCCAATGACGGAGCTTTCTTCTGTAGTGTCGAAGCCGCGGTGGACAGCACGCGACTCCATGTGCTTAGGGCTCGCGGCGTTTGTGGCGATCAATGTGCTCATGTGTCTGTGGGTGGCCGTGACGTCCATGTCGACAGCTCGTCGTCAAGCTTCTGCAGTTTTTTTCGCGCTGGAAAACGCTTCAGCAATCTCGTTTAACCTGACGCTGCAGACGACTGCGAGTGCTACGGAGCGACTCAATGTCACCGGAAGTCTACGGCCTCGTCTCTCGGAGTGCTCGCACAGACTTCATTTCGATGGACGCATGGTGGTGACTACCGCGAATGAGAGCGAGCTGTTCGTACTGAGAAATCATCGCGGATATCGCCGCTCGTTAAGCACAAGCAACGCGAGCGCAACGTGTTTAACGACGCGGGACATCCCACCGCTGCATGCACTAAAGGACACTGTACACAGCGCGTTCCGACCGGAGCTATACTCGGAATTCGACGTACATTGCAAGCCGCTACAGTTCACGTTTTTTGACACGCCGTTCGTGGTCTGTGCTGAGGATTGGCTTCGGGCGAGGACGATGACGACTGCACTGTCAAATCCTGATGCGGATGACAGCGCCGAGAACCAGCCGACAGATCCGGTGCTGGTGATCCACGGCAAGCGATCAGCGTTGGAGCTCACGGTGCTGTCGGACTCGGCAGAGTCACCGGTTGAACCGTTTGGACAGCTCGAGCAGTGCGAGTATCTTCAGGCGCCCATGACTTCGGGTGAAGTTTGCTCGATTCAGCCGAGACGGTGCTTTGGTCCACACATCGATGCTTGCAAGAAGAGAGAGGATTCATGCGGCGTGCAGAGAGATGACAAGGTGAACAAGTGCAAGTAACGTAGTGTAACAATGCGAAATGCGAGTGGGATGCGCTTCCGCCCTTCAACGTGATCCGGCCGTATTCCGGATCTGAATTTTTTGATGCCAAGACAAAACCTATTTTAACGTAAACTTGCCTGTTTAATTTGTTTAAATATTCTCCTTCTTTATCGTACAACTCGCTGTACAGACTGTCGTCGACAGTTAGGTTGTTCTGTCCTGCTTGGGATGCTGCGATGGTGTCGTGCGCTCCCTTCTCCGTTAGACTCTACATGTGCTGTTTGAATCGAACTCTATCCGCTCCCATTTACCAATATGGACGGTGAAGGTGAGGTACAGGAGCAGCCGAAGCGAGTGGCGCCGTTGAGCACGGTGTCGCTCGACTCGACTTACGACCACGACGACGAGAAGCAACCGCTACGCAATCGCTTCTCTTGGGCCCCGTTTATAGTGTTAGTGGGTCTGGTCTTGGTCGCCGTTGGACTGGTGCTTGCTCTGGATCGCGACGATACTGGTCAGCATGGAGTTGCAGTTGCTGAAGAAGATCCGATATTCTCGACGACGCATTCATCATTGACGAGTGACAAAGGTCTCACTGCACCTCAGAAGAAGTTGGGTGGGTGGTTGAAGCAGACGCGAAACGCAAGTGATCTGTACGTCGAAGGAGGCAGCAGTAATGTGAGCTTGACGGGCGTCCTCTTCCCGCTAAACGAGAGCGAGACCTCGCTGCCTTTTGACGGGTTGGTGTCCATCGATTCGGGTCTGGTGCTCTCGAGTCGACAGTATGTAGCGTTGGCAAATGGAAGAGGCTACAAATGGGTTGAGACCTCGTTGGGCTTGGGAGACAGCATCGTCACGAGTGGCTGTCTGGCTACAAACCAAAGTAAAGCGTGGGATGGGATCGATTCAGTCTTGGCGACAGCAAAGTGGGTTTCTGATGAAGACAAGGGCGAGGTGAGTGTAGTGTTCAATGGAGAGAAGTATACCATTTCAAAGAATGAAGACTTCGACTACTACTCAAGCGACATGGAAGATTGCTGGCTCATTGAGAGCGAAAGCGACGACTTCGCCTTGCGTGCTTGCACTCCAACTTTCGGAAATGTGCTTCTAAGGTCGGACTTCGCAGAGTTATTCAGCGCGACGAAAGGTTGCCCACAACTTGCACCGAAGACGACCCGTCTAACGAGACACAATTTGTTGTCGGTGCCGCTGCCACTGCGCAAATGGTATGCTAGCTACAAGGAGTAGCGAGTGCAGTTAATCCATGATTTATCTAATGAGTACTTTGAAGTACATGCTATACGTATTGGTTAAAATTGACCCTTGATCTCGAAATCTGAGATCAAGTACATGTACTAAAGCCTCATTTTCAATTCACCTTGGCAAAACGGCAATGCTACGGCCCCCGTATTTTTAAAATGTAGCTTTTTATTGTGAACTTGGATGTTAATAATAATTGGGCGCCTTCCGAAACCCTAACGAAAAGCTTGACCCTTCCCCGTTTATCAGAATTCATCAAGGGAACGAGCTTGCAAAAACATACACCATTTCCCAATCAAGTCCCAAATTTTACCATCCAAGGTGCAAAGTGTGTTAGAAAGGCTTTTTGGGCATTTGCACAAAAAGGGATTTTTCATATTTTGCAAAACGGAATTTGCGCAGCCCAACTCCTGCTCATTCCCCCTCCATTATCGAAATGCCGTCCACTCAATAACCTTCCAAGACCAACGTTTCCTTCGAGCGAGCCCAAGCAAAGGCTAGAGTCGTGCGTGCCTTCCAAGACGGCAAGAATCGGAGAGAGGTAGCTACTGCCAACGACGTCAACTACTTTACCGTGCGGCGCGCCATTCTTGCGGCTGGCCAAGAGCTTAAGCAGCGCGGCGGCTTACGACAGTCGTCTGTCAAGATGACGGTAGACGTTATGAGTACGATCGAGGAGCTGATCGACGAGGACTGCCGCATGACACTGGAGCAGCTGTGCGACAGAATCCACGCCGACTAAGGTGTTATCGTCAGTAAGACGTCGGTTCACTGGGCGCTACAGGGTATACTTTACTCTACGAAGCGCGCACGCATCGAGAAGGCGACGATGAACTCGACCATCAACAAGGAGAAGTGCAAGACGTTTGTCTTAGAGCTAAACAAGCACATTAAAAAGGTAATATGGTGGTGTTTCAAGATGAGACTAATTTTAATTTATATTATCGAGGAATGAATGTTGGTCCCGCATTGGTCAGCGTGCTGTCGTCAAGTTGCCACCATCACAAGGAAAAAACCTTCACGTGCAAGGCGGCGTATCAAGCGGCTCTAGGCTAATCCTACTTCGAGCTCATGACGGCTCGGTCAAGAAACAAGAGAACGCGCGCTTCATGGCGGACTTGTTCATTACCGCCCTCCAGTCAGAGGAGTACAAAGAGCTGCAGTCAGCCAAAGTTAAAATTGTCAAAGACAATGCTCCGGCACACACTGACGTTGAAAACTTGGCGCGCGACTACCTCGTCGCTGACGGCACCGTGAATGTGAACAAGCTGAAAGTGCTACGTCTAGGCCCTTATAGCCCTATGCTAAACCCAATCGAGGAATGCTGGAACTCGCTAAAAACAAAGATGCGCTGCTTCATGGCGAAGCGCAAGCAGGTGTTTTTAGTGTGTGGCGAATATGACACTTTCACAGCGCACCGGGCGGCACTAATGAAGGAAGCGGTGGGAAAGAGCAAGAGTGTAATAACACGCCGACTTGTATGGCGCTACGAGAGGCACTGCCTGCGTCATTGTTTTGCTGCGGAGAGAGGTGATGACATGCAACTCGGAGCTTAGGTTAGAGCTTTGCAATTTGCTTGAAATATGTGACAGTGCATTTTGCAAAACAGGAAAAATGATCTGTTTTTGTCCATCGTGTGTGTCCCTGTCTTTTTCGCTATGCAGTTTGGTTGGTAAATGCTGATGTTTGGCCAGGGAATGGTGTAGACGCATGCGGTGGTGTGCTTCATGCTGCAGGCACTTTAATAGTGCTGCTTAAAGCATTCATAGATATTCTAGGCGATTTAGACATGCTATAAATAGACGATCTATGCACAAGCTGTACCGCCTTAGACCTCCCAATACGATATTCACATGAGAAAGATCATCTTTCGCAGAAATGGCAGGGTGATGGCTACTTACACCGATACTTGTCAAAATACAGGAAACCGTGCTCACGAAGCCTAACGCTCGATCAGTCAAGGTGTCGGTTACATTTGGCTGACTTGGTCTGCATGCATTTAGAGCTTTCATTGGCTGTCTTCGACCAATTAGAATAGCAGGATTCTGTCAGCCATTCGTTGACAAATACATTTATTTAGAATATTATATTAACCAAACAAACAAATAAATAGTTCTCAATTTTACCGAAAATCGGCTTTGCTTTCCTTTTTAAAGTAAACCTATACTTTCGGACGAAAGTTAAGTAAATCTAAATGAAACGCTTCCTCATTCACGTGCTTTAACGTGTAAGCCGAAGTTGTGGGCACAGAATAGGCCCATTACACTGTGCATCGCACAGACGTGAGTGTTTCCGCAGCAGGCCCGGCCTGCGCGCTGTCTGCAGACGTCTTCTTGTTCGCGGTGCCTGTGCCCCGCACACACACGGTGTTCTTTGTCTTCGCCTCGCTCCCGGAACAAGACGTTTGTCTTCTGGTTGTCAACCTGATACCATGTCGGGATCAGCGTTCTCCTGCGTCTGTTTCGACGCAACCGTAGTCCCCCCACTTAAGGAGGAAGCCACCGTTCCGAGCAAGCTCGGAGGGCGTGGATGCCGCATGGCATTCACTTAGAACGGCTGTATGTCCTGTCGAGGCACGCACCGAGTTGCGAATAGCAAACTATGCCATCGGCAAGCAGTCGCTTCACTGTGGAAACGAGTGTGCGAAGCTCTTCATTACGTCAGCGAGCACGCGATTCACGCGCTCGGCCTGCGTCCGTCTGCGGATGATCCGCAGTTGACATCGACAGCTGCGTTTCAAGAAGTGTAAACACTTCTTGCCAGAATTGCGCTGTAAAGCGTGGATCACGGTCCGACACAATGTCGAGCGGCATTCCGTGGTATCGAACCATCTTGTCAACAAACAGCCGTGCAGTCTGCACGACCGTGACTTCAGCCGGTACTACTGCAAGATGAACCATCTTGTTGAATCGACCAACAAAGACCACAACGCCGGTACTCCGCTTGCTGTCCGGCAGAAGACCGAAAACAAAGTTCAAAGACATGGCCTGCCAGCACTCCAACGGTGTCGGTAGTGATTGTAATGGACCCTGCAAATACACAGCAGACTTCACGCGTTGGCACACCTCGCAAGTACGTACGTACTTGCGCTCCCACTTGTACTGGTGGTTTCAGTAGAAGTCCCTCGTGAGAAGAGTGTATGTCTTCTCACGGCCCGGATGCCCGGCTGTAGGGGCATCATGATACTCATACGTAGATCGTAATCATTCGGCAAGACGATGCGACCCGCGTCGTCGTCCATTGCGCTGTAAAGCAGCAGTTCTTCGTGCACACGAAAGCGGTGCACACGATCTCGCAGATGTGGCGACAGCTTCCGTCAAAAGGTGCTACGACATAGGCTAGCAATTGTTTCACGTCTGCGTCACTCGCATACCCGCTCTTCATCGTCGATCAATGACGACGACAGAACATTCGCTCGTTCGAAACCGATTCAATTGACGTCGGCTGTCTTGACAGCATAATCCGTCGGCCACCACATTCAACCTTCCAGGCTTATACTCAACTTGGAAGTCGTTCTTCGCAAAGAACAATATCCATCTCACCATTCGTTGCGAGATGTGCAGACTCTTCACTGCTGTTCGCTCCCAAGTAAATATACTCAGAACTTCGCGAGTGCATACTTCATGACAAGGACTTCATTGTTATGTACAGGGTAGTTACATCCAGCTGGCTTTAGCTGACGCGTCTGGTAGTTGATCACACGATCACGGTCCTCGTGATCGTGCTGCATCAACGCGCATCCGATCGCAAAATCGGACGCGTCACCCACGATGTGGAATGGGCGATCTTGGTCAGATACTGCCAAGATCGGCGCCTCAGTCAAGCCCTTCTTGACTTTATCGAAGGTCTGCCGATACCCAGCAGTCCAAATCCACTCAACTCCCTTCTTCATGGGCTGCGACAGAGAGCGAATCTTGCTCTCAACTTACTTGCACGAGTACGCTGCAAGTCCAATGAACTGTCTTAGTCCCTTCACGTTGGATGGCGTAGGCCATTCATTGATCACTCTAACATTTTCTGGATCAGGGCGTGCGCTGTTCTTCCCGACGAGTCACGCAAGGATGGGTACCTCGCTTGCCTCGAAGATACATTTCTTTAGGTTCGCATAGAGCTTATGCTTACGCATGAGCCCTAGCAGCTGGCGCAGGTGCTCTATATGCACCTCGACGTCAGTTTTCCCGTCCACAGCCCGGCTGTGAACGAACACGTCGTCGAGGAAGCTCGGTGCGAAGTCACGCACTGAGCGCAATATATGTGTAATGTATCTATTGAAGGTTGCAGGGGCATTCTTCAGTCCCTGCGGCATTACAAGCCACTCTCAAAGCATGTCGCTTGGAGTGTTCACCGCCGTGAGAGAGATGCCCCCCTCACGCATCACGATCTGATAGATCCCGTCGCGCAAATCAAGAGCACTATAGATGGTGCTCTTGGCCATCGAATCGCTGAAAACATCTGTTCGTGGTATCGGCGTCTGCACCGATATCGTAGCATCGTTCAGCTTATTGTACGCATGTGCGATGCGCCACCGTAGCTTCTTGACACAGAACGTTGGTGCACTGTGCGAAGACTTTGATTCCCGCACTTGACCTTCCTTATGACGACTTTCAATTAAGTCGTCGAGTGCCTTTACTTGTTCTCGCGACAGTGGCACGAGGTCGATCTCGTGCTGTATGCCCTCCTGCGGGAGTTCCGCAGGAATTTCTTCCGGGAGCACATCCTTGTGCTCCAGCAGAACATCGTAGAAGGGACCCGACTGAGTCACAGATCTGCTCGTCGAAGCGCTGCTTCTTCGTCTTCACGCGGAGAGTGTCCTTAATCGCAGCGGCATTCGCAGCGTGGAGCTGTCAGAACCCCTCCGCTTCGCTCTTCATCCTTTCGATAGCCGAAAGGATGCATATCAGTTCGATGCGTCCATCGTACAGGTCTTTCGCGAAGCGCATCCAGCCCATGATGGAAGCGACGTCAGCTTCGACGCACTCACCGGAGGA